TAAACCCTATCTTTGTCCCATTACTTCACCAGCACTCCTTCCAAACTTCATTCTGCTCTTAAAAATAACACCATCTGCGAGCTGCTGCTATTCGTCCAAGGTTCGCCGCTCTTCATCCTTTCACAGAAAATACTTGTGCAAACTATTAATTCTACTTTCTTATTTCTGGGTGGTATTGAGCTTCATCCTGGCCCAATTGAAAATAACTCATATAATTCTGTAGATTTTTCTGGCAGGAAAGGTGTTGGTGTTCTACATGTCAACATCAGAGGGCTTGTGATTAAATTAAGACAACTAAAACTAGAAGTGGCAAATCTTGACCCGGATATTTTTTGCTTAACAAAAACATTTCTCACTCCTGCCGTCAATAACTTGCAGATTGCGATTGACAACTACAACCTTTTTCGGCTTGACCGAGGATATAAAGGAGGTGGAATTGCCATCTATGTTTGTAATACTATTGCACGTTCACTCGCTCACTCCTTGTTAAAACAAATTTCTTTGAAGGTCTGGCTCTCAAAATAACTCTCCCAAATAATCAACAGATATTGGTAGTGTGCTGCTATCGACCGCCTAGTGGGAAGAATATTGAATCTGCACTGAGAGAGCTTTTTGGGGGCCTCCCTAAAGGTGAAATAGTTTTAGTGGGTGATCTAAATTGGAATTGGCTAAACCCGCCGGCCATGGCCACAAATTTTGCAGATGAATTTAATCTGTTTCAATAAATAAATAAATGTTCCCACAAGACCCAACCTAAAAAATCCGGGACAGTCATCTCTCCTTGACGTCCTATTGACAAATGCCCCTCACAATTTCACACTGACTGGTGTTCTGGGTAATAACCTTAGTGATCACTCATTCATTTTTGGGGTGAGATCATCAGCCAGACCCAAAGCCCCCCTAAATTGGTTGAGAAGCACTCTATGAGACACTTCAGCACTCAGGCATTTACTAATGATGTGCTTCACTCAGATATTGACAAGGTCTGTGATATCCCCAACCTGACTACAGCTTGGGAGACCTTCAGGTACACGTTTCTCCAAATTCTTAACAAACATGCTCCGTCAGATTTAAAACTAAAGGCAACCGCCCACCATGGTTTGATCGTTTGATTACAAAGCTCATGAAAACTAGGGACAAGGCTTGGGCATGTGCTCAGAAAAGTAATTTGGTCAATGACTGGCTAGAACACAGGATTTTAAGGAATAGATGCGTCAAAAAAATACGGCATGCAAAAAATGCCTACTTTTTCTCCACTCTCCTGGAATCACATGGAAATGCCAGGATTTTATGGAAAACAATCAAATGTATCGAAAGAGCATCCAAAGCAGACAATCTGCCTGCTGAGCTTAACCGAAATGGGGAGATCCCAAAAAAATAGTTGACAATTTTAACCTTCATTTTTCTGAAGCTGGTAATCTTTTTGATAATGGCGAGTCACCCCTGCTCATGCAAATTCCTACACCCCTGTCCAAACATTAAACGAATTTTGTTTCCAGCAAATCCATGAAAGTAATGTTCTGAAACAACTGTCTTACCTTAAAGGGTCCTCCTCTGCCGGAGCAGATAGTATTCCCGTCTTTGCTCTACTAACTGTTGGTCACCTAATATACAAACCTATAGCTCATATTTTCAACCTGTCCACAAAAGCATCAATTCCTCTAGAATGGAAACATTCCTATGTCCGTCCACTTCACAAAGGGGGCCCTAAAGATGATCCAAATAACTACCGACCTATCTCAATTTTGTCCCCGTTGATGAAATTTTTGTTAAAAATTATTGACCTACCAAATTAGCAGTTTCCTGTCCACCAACAATCTACATAATCTAAAACAATCTGGGTTCCGAAAAAAATACAGCACCACATCTGCTGCATTAGACTCTCTGAATCACATTTACAGTAGCCTTGATCTTTATGTCAATGACTTGGACACTGACCTGGATCATTCCAGGGTAAATCTTTTTGCAGATGACACGATACTGATTACGGCTAGCCGCTCTCTGGATGACGTGATTGCTAAGCTCCAGGGTGATTTCAACAAACTACAACATCAGCTAGTTGCTCTTAAACTAGTCCTGAATACCTCCAAAACCAAGGTGCTATGCTTCTCACCAGGACTAAAGCAGGAAGTTATTTTTCCCCAATTACATTCCTTAAATAATTATCAAATAGAGCAAGTCAAGATCTATAAGTATCTTGGGGTCATCCTGGATTCAAAACTGAATTTTGAAGATCACATTGATTATATTGGTAAAAAGACAAAAATAAAAATTGTTTTTCTGTATCAACACAAGCACTGCTTCCCCCCAATGTTCCGTTTGGAATTGATAAAAGCTACCATACTGCCTCTACTTGACTACTGTGATATCGTGTATAAATCAGCCCCAAGTACTGTACTGAAGAAGCTTGATTCCATCTATCACTCGGCCTTAATATTTACATTGAACTGCCCATATAGGACTCACCACTGTGATCTCTACATTGGGTCAAACTTAACATATCTTAATGTTCGACGGCTTGTGCACCAGATCTTATTTATTCACGATGTACTTACAAAAAAATCCGCAGACTACCTGCTGGATCTCCTCTCTGTTTCAAAGAACAAATTTGACCTCAGGTCTTCGCTCATTTACCAGCTTCACATTCCCTATTGCCGTACAAAAACTGGAGGAAGGGCCTTGCTATTGATGCCCCCAGGGTCTGGAATGCTATTGCCAATAAACTGCAACTTGAATCGCTACCAATGAGATCTTCTCTCAAAACTGCTCTAGAGGAGTTGTACAACCCTAGCTGCCACTGCTATTGATTGGCGTAAAAAAATGTTTCACTCCGGATGTCGCTGCAAAGTATTATCTGTATATTGATTTAGCGTGCTGGTTTTAAAGGTGCATTGAAAAATTTGATACTCCGACTGATGCTTCTGTTGTTGTGGAGTAACTCATGCAGCCAGCTATGGCTCTAGGATTTGGTGTTACATGATATTTACGTAGTTTATTGTAAAAATTCGGTCACAGTCCCTGTGATCACTGTTACGTTGCAATTATGGCTTTATTTTTTGGTGATTTCGAAAACGTTTTTTGGTTTGGACATGTTTGTTTTGTTGTAGTACGGAGTTAGACTGATGGCCTTAATCAAATTTTTCTTGTGGTTGTTGTTGTTTGACTTGCATCCCACTGGGATTTTTTTTGCACACAGCGTTGGTGTACGGTGCTTTTTTCAGGAATATTTTTGCTGTGTTTTTCATGGATTTTCTGTTTGCACAGTCACACAGAGTCACTTTAAGATGTTGTTCTTGTTCGTGTTTCTGTTTATTTTTGTTTGTTGTGGTTGCACCCGATTCAAGAGCCGAATGGCCTCACAGGGCTATACCAAAATAAATAAAACTGAAAACTGAAACATTAAATATGTATCAAGTCATACATTCACAGGCTGCTGTGAAGAAAAAATTGCACTTCGATATAGCGACAGAGAGATTTTTTAAACTATATATATATCACGGTTTTTGTGCACAGGCCGTAATGCCCAAAACGCCGAGCGGCCAGAAATAAACAGCACTGCCAACATTGTGCCAGATAAGAGTCGACACGTTCCTTGGATTGAGCATTGAGGTATTAGAGCTCATCTCCCGTCTCCAGTCCTGCAGAGTCAGTGGCCGAAACTCCACATTCCCATGGCGGGGCGAGTCCATTCATATAACCACTGTTGATTCCGCCACGAATGTGGTAGTACTCGTTTTAAAGTTATGACGACTTGGAGAAAGAGACGAAAGGAGGAAATATATATTTTTCGGCAAAAGCCAAGGCAATAATGAAAGTAGCTAATTTTAGACGAATCCTAACCAACAGATCCTAAATTCTTAGAGGAATAAATATGATTCAATTGTTCTCACTACCGCAGACACTGTATTACCTGGTATAATGCTGGACAAACAACTCTACACGCCCTTCCAAGATAACACCTTGGCCTTGAAATGAAATATATAAATAATAGGCAACGTTTCGGGCAACGGTCCTTCTTTATAGCACATCAATCCTCTTGCCTTGAACAGCGGTGGGGGGGTGGGGGGGAGTTTGAGTTGAGTGTCTCGGAGCGTCACGCAGTTTAATTGAACTTGGGCATAGCTGCCAAAGCAGCATCGCCAACACACGCATCGTCTGGTAGTTGAGGACAGCTCATTGAAAGTGGACGAAAAAAGTTATAGGGTGGGCAGTAAATAGCGTGTGAAGTCACACGAGACATGGTTGAGGAAGGGAGAGATGAGCTATACTGCCAACACCTTATGACTTTAAACACTTTAACCACATAAAGAATTAACTTTAACCACAGTTCAGTCCCACCTTGATCACACATTAACACTTCGAGGCTCTTCTGGGTAAAGGGCATTGTTATGCCACTATGATTACTACTGTAGAGGAGCAAGCCCTGTGCCTCTGACACTGGTTGGTCGCATAAAGTTTCTCCATCTTACTCCTGCTTTTTAAAGGAGCCTGGATTCTTAATAGTCTCAGACGTTAAGGAACTCGTGGTCTACGAGTCCTCGGATCTACGAGCCCCATCGTACAATGTCTACGAGTCTCAGATTATACGACGAGACCTGGGGGTGGGAGGTCTATTACATACGAGTCTCAGGATCTGCGAGCCCCATCGTTCAGGGTTTTTGAGTCCCACTGTCCGAGTCCTCCCTCCCTGCCTCGTCTCCGAATACCCTTGTCACCACGTGTACCATCCCCGTCCACGTGTCCCTCTGGTCACCTTCTCCCCGTGTCCCAGAGTCTGTCGCTATAGTCCCCCGAATATCCCCGTGGTGGCCAACCCGGAATATCCCCGTGGTCCCCCTGTACATCCCCGGTGTCGCCTGTCTTTGTGCTCCTCTGTATCCCCCTGTCCCCGAATCTCCCTGTCCCGTCTTAACCCCCCCCCCCACCCCCGTGTGGCCTTGTCTCAAGAGTCCCTCTGTATCCCTCTTGACCCCAATCCGTGCCCCTTGTGTCTCACTCACCCTGAGGCTGTGTCACGGAACGTCTGTACGTCTCCCGGTAGCTTCTCATGTCCGGGATGTGAGCTCCTTCCCGAGCTCTGGCTGGAGGCTCCCACACACGGTCTCCACCATCATCATCACCATCAGCAGCAGCAACAACAACAGCAGCAGCACCGCCAACAGCTGCAGAAACAGCGGCTACACCGGCATCACCATCAGCACCACCATCAGCAGCACCATCAGCAGCACCATCAGCAGCCACCGCCTCCTTCAGTGCACCACCGCTCCCACTCATGCTGAAGGCTGGCACGAGAGTCAGGAGACAGTGGGACGAGGAAAGCGAGAGAGGCGAGAGAGAGAGACGGTAGGTAGAGATTGATGAGGAGACACGGGGCGAAGGGCGTGGAGGTAGGTGGTACAACAGCGAGGGGGAGTGTCCTGGGAGAGGAGGTTGTGTAGGCAGAGAGTGTGTGTGTGGAGCGAGAGAGTGAGTGTGTGTGTGTGTACACGTTGAACTTCTTTCGCACCGTACGCAGCCCAACCGTGCAAATCGTAGGTGCGGGGCGTGTGTGTTGTGGAGATGAGGGAGAGTGTGTGGAGAGTGTGTGCAGAGTGCAGTGAGAGTGTGTGGAGAGTGTGTGCAGAGTGCAGTGAGAGTGTGTGGAGAGTGCAGTGAGAGTGTGTGGAGATGAGGGAGAGTGCTGAGAGAGTGTGTGGAGAGTGTGTGCAGAGTGTGTGCAGAGTGCAGTGAGAGTGTGTGGAGGTGAGGGAGAGTGTGTGGAGAGTGCAGTGAGAGTGTGTGGAGATGAGGGAGAGTGCAGTGAGTGTGTGGAGAGTGCAGTGAGAGTGTGTGGAGATGAGGGAGAGTGCAGTGAGTGTGTGGAGAGTGCAGTGAGAGTGTGTGGAGATGAGGGAGAGTGCAGTGAGTGTGTGGAGAGTGCAGTGAGAGTGTGTGGAGATGAGGGAGAGTGCAGTGAGTGTGTGGAGAGTGCAGTGAGAGTGTGTGGAGGTGAGGGAGAGTGTGTGGAGAGTGTGTGGAGAGTGCAGTGAGAGTGTGTGGAGAGTGTGTGCAGAGTGCAGTGAGAGTGTGTGGAGATGAGGGAGAGTGTGTGGAGAGTGTGTGGAGAGTGCAGTGAGAGTGTGTGGAGAGTGCAGTGAGAGTGTGTGGAGATGAGGGAGAGTGCAGTGAGTGTGTGGAGAGTGCAGTGAGAGTGTGTGGAGAGTGCAGTGAGAGTGTGTGGAGATGAGGGAGAGTGCAGTGAGTGTGTGGAGAGTGCAGTGAGAGTGTGTGGAGATGAGGGAGAGTGCAGTGAGAGTGTGTGGAGAGTGCAGTGAGAGTGTGTGGAGATGAGGGAGAGTGTGTGCAGAGTGCAGTGAGAGTGTGTGGAGATGAGGGAGAGTGCAGTGAGAGTGTGTGGAGGTGAGGGAGAATGTGGAGATGAGGGAGAGTGCAGTGAGTGTGTGGAGAGTGCAGTGAGAGTGTGTGGAGATGAGGGAGAGTGCAGTGAGAGTGTGTGGAGAGTGTGTGGAGAGTGCAGTGAGAGTGCTGAGAGAGTGTGTGGAGAGTGCAGTGAGAGTGTGTGGAGATGAGGGAGAGTGCTGAGAGAGTGTGTAGAGTATGCAGTCACAGTGTGTGCAGAGTGCAGGGAAAGAACGTGGAGTGTGCAGGGGAGGATGTGCAGAGGTGAGGGAGAGTGCGAGGTGGACAGTGTTGGGAGTGTGTAGAGAGTGCAGGGTGAGAGTCGAGGGGGGGGGGCAGAGTGCAGGGAGAGAGAGTCTAGGGGGGGGCAGAGTGCAGTGAGAGAGTCTAGGGGGGGGCAGAGTGCAGTGAGAGAGAGTCTAGGGGGGGGCAGAGTGCAGGGAGAGAGTCTAGGGGGGGGGGCAGAGTGCAGGGAGAGAGAGTCTGGGGGGGGCAGAGTGCAGGGAGAGAGAGTCTGGGGGGGGGGGGGCAGAGTGCAGGGAGAGAGAGAGTCTAGGGGGGGGGGGGGGCAGAGTGCAGGACGAGAGCCGCACTTCACCGCGACGTTCAAGAGCCTCGGCGGATCCGGACTCGCGGGTTCCTCGGGGATCCGGTTCCTGTGGCACGTATTGGAGATCCGGATCCGGCGCGACACAGCAAACCGCCCCCCCCCCCCCTTAAAGTGGGGGTGGGGGGGGTCCCCGTGTGTGAGTGACGGGGGGGGTCCCCGTGTGTGTGTGACGGGGGGGGTCCCCGTGTGTGAGTTACGGGGGGGGGTCCCCGTGTGTGAGTGACGGGGGGGGGTCCCCGTGTGTGAGTGACGGGGGGGTCCCCGTGTGTGAGTGACGGGGGGGGGTCCCCGTGTGTGAGTGACGGGGGGGGTCCCCGTGTGTGAGTGACGGGGGGGGTCCCCGTGTGTGAGTGACGGGGGGGGGGTCCCCGTGTGTGAGTGACGGGGGGGGGGATCCCCATGTGTGAGTGACGGGGGGGGGGGGGTCCCCGTGTGTGAGTGACGGGGGGGGTCCCCGTGTGTGTGTGACGGGGGGGTCCCCGTGTGTGTGTGACGGGGGGGGGGTCCCCGTGTGTGAGTGACGGGGGGGGGTCCCCGTGTGTGTGTGACGGGGGGGGGGGGGTCCCCGTGTGTGTGTGACGGGGGGGGGGTCCCCGTGTGTGAGTGACGGGGGGGGGGTCCCCGTGTGTGTGTGACGGGGGGGGGGTCCCCGTGTGTGAGTGACGGGGGGGGGTCCCCGTGTGTGTGTGACGGGGGGGGGGTCCCCGTGTGTGTGACGGGGGGGGGTCCCCGTGTGTGAGTGACGGGGGGGGGATCCCCATGTGTGAGTGACGGGGGGGGGGTCCCCGTGTGTGTGTGACGGGGGGGGGCGGTGAGTGCCCCCCCCCATATCTGTCAACCCCTTGTCAGTGCCCTGCTTTTAAGGCTTTTATTTTGGTGATGTCGAACACGTTTTTTGGTTTGGCCATGTTTGTTGTAGTACGGAGTTAGACTGATGGCCTTAATCTAAGTTGTCTTGTGGTTGTTGTTGTTTGACTTGCATCCCACTGGGACTTTTGCACACAGCATTGGTGTACGGTGCTATTTCAGGAATATTTTGATGTTTTTTTCCCTGGATTTTCTGTTTGCACAGTCACATAATCACTTTAAGATGTTTTCTTGTTCATGTTTTTGTTTTTTTGTTTGTTGTGGTTGCACCCGATTCAAGAGCCGAATGGCTCACAGGGCTATACCAAATAAATGAAATGAAAAAACTGAAACCTTATTACAGATCAATTCAGACCCCTTATTGGTCACCCCGTGCCCCCTTATAAATCTCAACGTTCATCCTACAAAGAATCAGAAAGGGTTTTATTCGCCATGAAAGTTCACACCGACACGGAATTTACTTTGGCAGGATGGTGCATACATTCAACATATAGGAATCTAAAATCTTAAATAAGTTTTAAACAAGTCTTACTATAATAATAATAGTAAGGGTTAAAAGTCTAACTAACACCAAGGGGCTGAAGTATATAAAATTGAATAAATATCGAATATAAAATAGCTTTAAGATATAATTTTAAAATAAAAAATACAAATAGGTTAACATAGTTAGTATCGGCAAGGTGTCATTATGTAGATAAAATGTTAAAATCAGTGTAAGCCCTTGGCCTTGTTTAACAGGCCAGCAGCAGATGGGAAGAAACTGTTTTTATGGCGTGAGGTTTTGGTCCTGATGGACCGAAGCCTTCTGCCGGAGGGGAGTAGCTGAAACAGAGAGTGTCCAGGGTGGGAGGAATCGGCCATAATCTTCCTCGCTCGCCTCATGCTCCCTGTCGTGTGCAAAGTCCCATCACAAGGGAGAAAGCGGCCGTCCATAAATGACGTCACGCGATTTTAGACTATTTTTGACCCCTACCACCTTCGTCACACGACGTCACAAAAAGTCAGACCCCCCCCCCTCAAATATGACGTCACAAAGCTCTGCCCCCCCCCCCCCCCCAAATATATATATAAAACATGCTTCAAATCGCTTTAAACTATTGTCACTGTAGTGCGTATTTAATGTGGCGCTGCACTCTGATGTTGTAGGAGAAAACATTTATTAAAAAGTCTATTTAATTAAGTAGAACGTGTTGTCTATATTTATTTAAAGTTGCGCATTTTGATGTGACGTCAGATTGCTCAACTCCCCCCCCTCCCGTCCTCACAAATGTCTGACCCCCCCCCCACCCCTAGGTGCGTGACGTCATTTATGGACGGCCCCTAACGTCTATTAAATCCAGCAAGCATTTGTTGAACCAGTCCCAGTGTATTGTTTGCTTAAACGCACGCTTTTGCCGCTGGATAATGTCGGTCTGAAATGCCAATACGTAGGCCGATGAATGTGTACTTTTTGGTTCTTTCGGTAAAGTCACGTAAGTATAAAATAAAATATACTTATAAAATAAAATCTACCTACGTGAGTTTACCGAAAGAACCAAAGAGTATGGATTCCTGCAGTCACGAAAGCTTCAAATCAAGATTGATTAGTGTGTATTTATATACTGTAAACGTTTATTATCCCCGTGGTATTGCTCTTACATGTGACGTAGATAAGGAAAACAATAAATTGGGAGTAGCCCGGTATGGGTTCAGATATAGCGAACCACTGTTGTTAGCTGTTAGAATGAATGAAACTCAGGTTTCCGGGTTCATAGTGCAGTGCACTGAATCGCACTCAAATACTTCTCATCTCACTCTACTCCACCCCACACACTCTCCTACCTCTCCCCTCTCATCTCACTACTCTCCTACCTCTCACCTCCCTCTACTCCCCTCCACTCTCCTACCTCTCCCCTCTCATCTCACTCTACTCCCTTCACACACTCAACTACCTCTCCCCTCTCATCTCACTGTACTCCCTTCACACACTCAACTACCTCTCCCCTCTCATCTCACTATTCACTTCCACTCTCGCTGCTCCCAACAACGAAGACTTTCTCTCGAAGCCCCCAATCAACCTTCGCTCAGCGAGAACCGTTTTGTGAATAGGAAATCTATTCAACCCATCATAACCATCATGTTTCCTCCGGGATTGATAAAGAAAAACGAGTGGCAATTTGGCACAATGGTTGTCTTTAATATGGCACAACAGCCTCTCCGCTAACGGATTGTAGAATTTCCACCACTGACGAAGGACTGCCAATGGAGATGACCGTAAAGCAGTCCTTGTATAGGCAAGTCACGATTTTGACTTGCAAATTCAGACTCGGCAGTCAAACCACAGCAATGACGAGAACATAAGGACACAGACCCTCCCTCTCAATGCAGCATGAAGGCAGTTTTTTCCCCCTCCTGTGCAAATGCAGTACGAGATACGGGGACACGCAGTTCCGTTATGGATCAGAGTATACACGTGTCGGGTTACCACTCCCCCCCCCCCCCAGAGATTTGTTTTGACGGTCACGATTCATCACAATACAACGGTAAAGGTGCAGCCCTGAAACTTCTTGCTTCACGACACCGCTGACAAGAGCCTCCACTACAGGGAGCGCCAGAGCAGCGATCGTCACTAATTGTCAGGGGGCGGGGGCACTTTCGCCAATAAGACATCATCAGTGTGAGGCTCGCCACACATTTGAAACCATTGGTGTTTTGACAGCAGCACGATGGGGTGTTGTCACACGTGTGGATTGTTGGGGGCTGCACATCAGGGGCCGCCAGTGGCCCGGATGCCTTGCAATGAAGAACACTGCTCTGGAGGGCATCTGGCCTACTCTTCATTGCTAGGCCCAGACTTCTCGCAAATCTCCAAACTTTACCCCACCACAACACGATCTGCCAATCGACGATTGGAATTGCTGTGCCTGGAGATTGAATTGAACCTGCGGACCTCTGGATCTCAACTCCAACGTGTTGCTAACCATTACTCCACGGCAAACATCAGTCATTACAAGACCATTGTTGTATCATGAAATCGCGCAGGGGTGAATTGTAATAAGATTCGTAGCTGCTCGAGAAGACCTGTTTGGATTTTATCTTCTTGTACGTTGAACTTCTTCTTTCGCACAGTACATAGCCAAATGTACTAATCGGAGGTGGGGGGGGGGGACTCCTTGCTGTACTGCGTACACTTTAGGGCTAAGTGTTGTGGTTCAGAAACACACAGAAGTCATAAAGATCACATTTCTATTTTATTATTTGCAAAGGGCCCAGATCGAGAAGTCATCTGGAGTGCAAGCCAAGTGGTTACTGGAAAATAAATGTTAACCTGCAGTTTTACCGAAAACTGCAATGCAAAGAGGAACAAAGTGAAATATTGACTTAAAGCTTTCGTGACTGCTGGAATACATATTCTATGGGTCTTTCGGTAAAGCCACGTAGACAGAAAAATAATAAAACTATCACGTTTCAATCGCAACACAAGCAATCGTCTTCAGGTGACAGAATAGGAACAAAGTGCATTGTCGCGATCTCAAAAGTTTTGCTAACATCACGCATCCTCATATGTAATATTCCTGGACAGCATCAGGGTTGACCCGACCTATACAACCAACCTCGGAACTTCCCGACGGTCATTCGAGGACCCACCGAGACCACATCTGTAGTAGTGAAAGCTTACCCAGGTGTACATTTAACATAAACAGAGATCAATCGCTATCGAGTAAATTTAGATTAACACCTCCCTGTGGGTGGATTTATTATTTATACGCAACGTAGTTTGGGCCCAACAAATAAATGTACGAACACAGCCACACAACCCCAGAAATGCATCTACAATGGCACTATTCAGAAAAGACCCCTTTAATGAATGATGCGCTCCAAACACAACGCCTCTTTTCCAACGAGAAGCAGCAAAAACCACCACTGACTGGACTGCGCCATTCACCAGCAGAGCGTTTATTTCAACCTTCTCGGGGGGGACTGCAACAATCTGCGTGTTATCACTTTACCATTGCCAACTGTGGAGTTTATTACACGGGAGAGATAGTGGTTTAGTCAAGCACTTGCTCTTTATTGAAATTAGCTTAATTCTGAATACAAGCACTGAGAATGTGAAATGTTTAAACGGTTATGTATGTAGAACTTATTTTGCACTGCAACGTAGCCAACCGTGATAATCGGAGGTGCGGGAGGACAGCAAACGTCCGCATTCTCTGCGATTATAATGCTGTACAACATTTTTTTCTTACAATCCGGTAGTTGTTCGTGTGCGTGTGCCCAGACTTGTAAAACTTTTATTGACAAGGGATACAAAAATTCGAACAAGTATTACTTTCCGGAGTGTTTTATAATCCAGAGAATATGGTAAATCATGTTGTCACCATATATTGCAAAAATCGTATTCAATACTTCCTGGAACGCCGTAAAGCTTCGTTGGCCCAGAGCAAGGACGTATCGGCGTAAGGCACTACCCACTAGAATACAGGGTACATCTATCCATAACAATAATGCTCCTACATTTATTGCACCCGATATTCCTATAAACCTACGAATAGGTTTGTAAAAATGATACAGAACAAAAGGAGAGACGCACGTGACGTGGTGCCAAAATAATTATCGGAAAAGCGTAACCGGACCGTTACAGCTGATACTAAGCAGCGCTTCCTTCACGCTCTGTGACAAATTCAAGTCGATTGCCATGAGTGTATGTTACTGATGGATATTAGATCAGGATGATGACAAGCACCCCTGTACATCAGCACCGTTCTGAAATAAGCAAAACACATTGACAGCACACTGCAGGGAGGAAGGCAAAGGGCATATTTTGATAGATGCACACTACTTCTGATATAATCACAGCTGGCTTTGCTCGCAAGAGGTGTATATACTTATATGCAGTTTCCACTGTCATTCAGAGCCAACCAAAGCCACATTAAGCGCAATAATGACATTGACCGGACAAAGACCTATCGTGCAGTCACTGGGAGACTGGGTTGAGACGTCAAACTCACTACCGACTACAAACCTGGTTTAACCACCGGCTGTGGTGGGGGGGGGAAGTGGTGGGAGTCTGGGATTTGAACCCAAAAGATCTTCAGCGGTGCTCGCTTATGTGGCCCCAACATTGCCATCATGAAGCACTTGCGAGACGCCCGTCCCATCTCGACAGCTCCAAGCAGGAGCTCCATATGGATGCAGCCGCCAAGCTGAGGTGGGGGGGGGAGGGGGGTCCAGGTTCGACGTCGCTAGGCAGGGGGGGGGGGGGGGGGTCGGGCTCGCCGCGTGCCTCCCCTCCGTGTTGAATTGAAACGGCCACCGGCACTGCCTCCTCCTCCTCCTCGCCCCTACCGAGGCTGGGCAGGGGTCTCACTTCTGTGGGTATGCCTCCACGATCATGCCGTGGCCCTGTGCACACGCACACAAAAAAGACAAAAGATCCCCCCCCGTATAGCTTTTTAACAGACTTTTTGGGGCAAGTGCTGTTAAGCGAGCACCCAACGGTGTACAAGGGTGAGGAAATGGAGGTTGGTGGCCATCACCATGCTCCAGCCGCCTTTGTATCCCCAGTGCTGATGTTCACACATCACACCAGGTCCTCATTTAAAGGCTGAGTTGACCTAGGGAAGGGCCCCAGGTCCGGTTGAGATATTCGTCACCGATGTTAGCCGTGAGCGAGAATCAAACTCGGGTCGCCGGATTCATAACGCAGTGCGCTAATCGCTGCACTACCGCTCCCTCCTTACACACACACACACACATGTATTAATGTAAATTTGCGCACAGAGTGCATATCAGAAAAAGCAATTATTATACCGTTCGACGGGGGCCCGTCCCAATTTTAGACAAGATTGATAAGAGCTAATGCATTAACCCTAACAACTTGAGTTTCAAGGCTCTTAAATTACAATTCGCTCTCAAATCACTGTGCCAGCCCCATCGAATCGCTGCGTGCAGCGAGGGGCGGCGGGGCAACCATTAGGCGCGTCACCAATTCGGTGGTCCTAACCTCCGCCGAGCCAAACCACCCAATCGTCACGAGTAACGGTCACGCGTTGCTGTTGCTCGTCGCGACAGACTGCCCGTCGGTGTGTGCACGGGTACCCCGTCCCGACGCGTCACGCCGAGCTACGTCACGGGAAAAAAAACGTCTACCCGCGTTCCGCCAAGATCGCCGTGCATCGGGAGGTCGTTGCCAACAATCGTGACGTGGCTAGGCATGCCCCCACGCCGCCGCCACCGCAACCCACACACCGCCAACCAGACGGAACTCGCCTGGCCTCCGGCGGCGCAAGCGGCGACCAGCGCGTACTGGCCCCCCTCGCGGTGGAGCCGGTGCGCGGCGGTGGTAACGAGGCGGCAGCCGGTGGCGCCGAAGGGGTGGCCCAGCGACAGCGAGCCCCCCCAGAGGTTGAACTTCTCAGCGGGGGGGGCCCCCACCTGTTCCCGGGAGGGGAAAAAAAATAATCAGAATTAACGAATGTATGCTGGAGGAATCCAAGGAGCTACAAAGCTCTTTTTCGCACATGTCGAGTATGGGTGGGTCAAGCGAGCAGCAACAGCAAACGATACAAAAAAAACACAATAGGCGTGCAAAATAGAGAAAATGGTAAGCAATATGAATAATACATACATTAAATACGTTCATTTGCAAAGACAACAAAACAGTCCTGGACCACACCAAAGACAGCACACGGTCCCTCAAAAATATGGCACATTAACACTGATCAACGATCAAAGCAGCGTTGCTTTTTATCATCCTTAAAATCTATTCTCCAGTCCTGTTGATCCACTGCTGGATGAAGGCCCCACCCCCCCCCACCCCCCCCCATGCCCCACGCTGTGCCAGTCATGGGGGATGCTTGACCATACTTCACCCCACTGGTAAATGCAGGTGGAGGAAGGGGGTGGCAACAAGGACTGGTCCAGATTTCACGCGCCACTGATGTGAGTAGTGGCCGGGAATCTAACTTGGATGGCCGCATTCGTAGCATGATCCGATGATCACTGCACCACCGCTCTCACCGATGTATACTCTTGGAGCTAGGGCTGTGAGGAAGTAACTAATAAGACCAACACACACAACTGGTGGTGCGGCTATCTGCAAGCCTGGCCACCTTCGCCTCCCTAGTGGTAAAGCTGAGACACCGCACCAGGTACTCATTCGAGGTTGAGTTGACCTGGATGAGGACCCAGGACAAGTTTAAATATCACTCCCGAAAAAATACAGATCCCCTGTATGGCCTTAACAGGCTTTTGGGCTAAGTGCTGTCAGTGAGCACCGACGAAGGCAGGCACAGGACATAAGGGAGCACCAAATCCGGCTCCCTTTGTCTCTCTCGTGGCGATGTTTACATATGGCACCAGCCACTCATTTGAGGCGGAGTCGACCTAGGGGAGGCCCAGAAACCGGTTCAGACAATCGTCACTGGTATTGGAAGACAGCAGAAATCGAACACGGGTCGCCAGGTTTGTAATGCAGCGCGCCAACCCTTGCACTATCGCCAACACACATGAACACAAAGTCACGGCTCTACATGCATATAAAATAAACATCCCCATATAGCCTGACACATACTTTTGGCACAAGTGCTGTTAGAGAGCAGCTTTGAAGGCCCGACATGGCACAGGAGGGCGTGGGTGGCCAGCACACTCACACTGTCTCACCTTGGACTTGAGTCCAACGTAGTTTTGAGCGAACCAGTCCGAGTCCATGGCCCGCATGTTGGCTAGGATTTGGCCCTGATTATGTACACACACAGGGAGATAACCCCCTTCAATTACTCGTGTAGCCGATTGCTAGAATTAAGCACAAATTAGGTTTCAAACATTGCACAAAAATGTGTAAAAAGAACCAACAGCTTTTGTGCATCATCGAAAGTACATGTGAGTAAATGTGACCGACTGACAGCAGCAGCAGTGATGCAGCGATAGACTTCTACGATACACCAGTTTCATGACAATGAAGACTCATCAGCACGGTATAGTCGCCTAAATGCTCACCGCTGCAAAGTGTGCCTCTCGAAAACATCCACGTGGAATCCCCACGTCCACACTACAGGGCCCATATTTGCTTGGCCAATGCCAACAAATAAAACAATTGCCATTCATACATTTGATCAAGTGCACGGCTGCACGAAAACACACGTATGTAGAACTTCTCAGTCAACCGAGCTAAATCGGAGTTGCGGGGGAAGGACAACAAACTAAGCTATATTACAGGGTGATCAATTCATAGATACCCCAATGACCCTTTTTTAATTTCGTCTCAACAGCAGTTTAATTAGTATTGAAAGTGGTGGCCCAGTGTCTCACAGACTAGATTGATAAACAATTTAACAAACAAGTGTGTACAGTTTGGTGAGAGACTTTTGGAGAGGCTTTGAAATGAAAACAATTCTCGAGAATATCTCCCCATTATGCCAGTCAGGTATCTATAAATGGATCGGCCTGTACACACACGTACCCAAATAGCAACATGTAACTTGGCAACGTTGTACCGAGATCTGTGTTGGTGTCCAAGACTCTGAGCGCCAGACGAAGAAACCTTTCGCATTGATCAAATTCATTAATGACGATTGAATAGGGGCAAATCTTAAAGACTGAATAAAATACTTCCCTATTGAACAGAAGACTCAGTGAATAGATAGAGAGAAACCCCTAATCAATCAATTCCTACAGAAAACTTTCATCAACAGGAAGAGACCCAATTTGAACACAATCGACTCCCACACGAATAGCAGACATATTCAACAGACTCTTCCAGAAAACTGCGACTGAATGTCTCTTGAATAGACCCTCCTACTTAAGAGCCATTCCTCTCCAACAAGGGAACCCCACCCCACAATTAGCAGGGTTCGTTAGCATCAAACCGCAGCAGTGCTTGCAGACATGTGTAAATGCGAATGTGTGTGTGTACGTGTTGCGTGGGCATGCATGTGTGCGTATGGGTGTGCCTGGCACAGGCGCTGTGACGACGTCACTGCCAATTAGTGGTGGCTGTCGTATGCGTGCGTATGTGTGTGTGTGCGTATGCATACATGTGCGTGCATGCACATATATATCTGTGCGTACATGTTCGTGCGTATGCATGCGTGTCTATGTATGTGTGCACATGTGTGCACATGTGTATATGCATATACGTGTGTATGTGTGTGTGCGTATGTGTGCATGTGTGTGTGCGTATGTGTGCGCATGCGTGCATTACGCACAGCGAACGCCTCGTGGAATTCAAACACGTCGATGTCGCCGAGGGAGAGCCCGGACTTGGCCAGAAGACGCGCGGTGGCGTAGGTTGGCCTGCGCGACGAGCAGCAGCAGCACGCGCACAGCACGCGCACAGCACGCGCACAGCACGCGCACAGCACGCGCACAGCACGCGCACAGCACGCGCACAGCACGCGCACAGCACGCGCACAGCAAGGCCCTTGTGAATGGCATCTCGGAGAGGCGTTCAGAGGGTAGGGACTCAACCAAAGGCGGATATGCACAAAGGTCGGATGTGTGAACACCAACGGAAAACGACAGTTGCAAAGTGCGTCTAAAGGGGGTTACTGGACAAAAATATCGTGAGCTGCCCCTAAACACAGGCAGGTACACGCAACTTCACAGTGTCTTAGAAGCGAGTGCACGGCGTGCGAGATTGATAATAAACTGTGCACGTCGAGAGCTCAGATTTGTGAACACTCATGTAAAAATTACAATTACATCTTGCACAAAAATGAAACCCAGATTTTTGGGCCCATCTCAGCTGTCCCGTGGACTCGGGTGTTTTTGCCTCCGTGTTCACCTCCTGCGACATCCGGCCACGCTCACCGATTTCCTAGTCCTGCGTCTGTACTATCCCTACTGCGCAGCGGAGGTAATAATGTTAAAGTTTGAAAAGATCAGTGTCATTTTTATGTCACTGCATTGCACAATGCTGTGTAATCTGCAAAACAGAGGCGCACACAAACGTTAAAATGTTTTCAGCCAATGAGTGTTTATATTTGAGGGAGGAAACACAACACCTCGCGAAAATTCACGCGTGCGAGGGGGCAACACTATCCTATACAGATAGGACAGATATTATAGTCTGCACTTTGCCGAACCGCCTGCTTCTGATGAGCCAGGGTATGGCTCCTCCTCGACGCCCACGGGAAGGGAGTTTTACAACATCTGTGCGGTGATCCACCAACCCATGGCTGCCCGCCTCCACACAGCGCTGGGTTACAGGCAGGCACATGTGTCGCCACCACCGTCACCCGATACGTACCCCAGCAGCAGCTGGTCCTTCGGGTCTTGAGAGACGTACACAAAGTCCCTGCAGAGAAATATAACCGAAGTATTATTACAACTATTATCTGTGGGGCGGCGGGGAGTGGTGGTGCAGTGGTTAGTGCAATGAGTTTTATTCCCGGTCACAGTTAACATCAGTGGCGAGTGATACATAAAACGGTTGTGGACCCATCCCTTCCCCAACCAGCATAATGGAAGTATGGACAAATATTCCCCCCCTCAAGACCTGTATGGGGTGTATCAAGACCCTCATCCAGCTGTGGATTTAAAAAATAGCGCCTGTATATGTACAAGTGAAAGACACCTGGGACTTGAACCTAGGAATCCAAGTTGCTCGCTCAATGATCTGGTAAGGCCATTATGAGTCCAATATTAACCCTTTCCCATTCGGTGTAAGAGAGAAATTACTTTATCGGTACGCCTTCAAGTTGGAGGATATACCGAGGCTCCCACAAGGCCATGCAGGACGGCATGTGGCACAGCTTGGCGCCAGCTATCGAGTGTGGTCATGTCACTACAGTTTGCTGTGGCGAGTACAATGTGTTTAAAAACAACGGCGCGATGACCGTTTGCGAGTTCCGAGATTCAGCAGTGAACGGCACCCGCCCTGCAACTTGCAGACATCTCAGAATGGGAAAGGTTTCAAAATTCAAGCCCATCCACTTTCAGGGTTTGAAACTCAGATTTACTCAGTGTCTCAAATACTGACATAACCCCCCACCTCCCCATAAAAGACCGACATCCTGTCTAGTAGTCAAACCCTGACTTGTACCGCACCGAAGGTAGGCCTTGGGCTTGTATCCCATGGCGAGAGCCTTCTCTTCAGACATAATGAGCACAGCCGACGCTCCGTCAGTCTGTAATCAGCCACGCACACACACACACGATGTAGCCAGGCCTTTAACAACACTGCCACAACAAAGTCGGACAACCAGCAGCGGAAATTCCACTGATGCTCTGCCGAGGGACAGGACAGCAAAGAGATGGGATATCACTGCGAGGAGGGAGAGAATAAGGGGGGGGGGGGGGAGAGTGGGGCAATGTTTATTTTGTTAACGGGATTTACGATGAAAATATTAATCAGCAAAGTGGGTTTTTATTTTTATACGTTGGTTAGGGGCTGTCCATAAATGACGTCACGCGATTTTGGACGATTTTTTACCCCCCCCCCCCTCATCACACGGTGTCACAAAAAGAGACCCCCCTCAAATATGACGTCACAAAGCTCTGCCCCAACCCCCCCAAAAAACATTTCCATTTTGAAAATAAAACATACTTCAAATCGCTTTAAACTATCGTCATTGTAGTACATATTTAATGTGGCCCTGCACTCTGATGTTGTAGGCGAAAACATTTATTAAAAAGGTGTTGGAAAGCTGAAATTTAGCATAAAATTCACTTGAAAATATTCATCATCTAACTAAAACTGCAGATGTTCAGAATATTATATTGAAATTCTCTTATAATTATCATATATTAAAAGTAATTATAACTATAAAAATGCTTGAAACTTTATAGTAGAATGAAGCAAAATGGAGTACAAGTAAAACAATCACATTAATTCCACAGAAAAGCCCTGCTGGAATCATTAAAATACAAATTTTGATTAACTAAATTTATGCTTCTCCATTCTTTGATGGAGAAGCAAAATGCTCCTTCATGGAATAAATAAAAGGTGCCTTTAGTAAATTTAAATAATCAAATAGTTAATAATGAAAATTAATCAAAATTAGTGTTGTTCTAACAATTCTATCTAATTAAGTAGAACGTGTTCTTTATATTTAAAGTTGCGCATTTTGATGTGACGTCACATTTCTCAAAACCTCCCCCCCCCCTCGTCACACATCGTCACAAATGTCTGACCCCCCCCCCCGCCCGCCCCCAGGTGCGCGACGTCAATTATGGACGGCCTCTTAACAATGATTGCGAGTGGACCAGAATCGAGCATAGAATGACCAAGTCAATTACACAGCCTTAAGACAGGCTGTTGGGGGAGAGGGGAGAGGAGGAGACGAGAGCCGGCACCAGGAAGGAGGAGTTGGCGGCCGTGACGGTGCCGTGGGGCTTGATGAAGGCCGGCTTGAGTCGCGCCATCTGCTCCATGCTGCTGGGGCGGATGCCGTTGTCCTTCGCCACCGTGTCCTTCCCTGCGGACGCACGAAGCGACGGCGCGACTTGCACCTCTCGCGCGTTTCCAAGCTGGCGGTATCCCCCTCCCCCCCCCATGCACGCGCGTCCCCTTCCCGTAGTTCCAAGGGTCAACCGTGAAATACCCTGGCTCATTAACTAAACTAATTCTTCTTTTACCAGGTAAGGCCCATGGAACTATACAGCTCTTTTTCAGAAGGGACCTGGCCACAAACGATCACTCAACGAAGTGGCTTATCACATGAGAATTTACAGCAGCCAAATGCTCTAAAAGCATGTTTCTAAATGGGGGAAAAAACTGGAGGACCCTGGAAAAAGATCCACGCGACCACAGGGAGAGAGAACATGCAGACTCCAAATATACAGTAGGCGGTCAGGGTCAAACTCGAACTCACGACCTCCTGCATACCAGGTGAGGTAGTTAAACCACAAGTGGCTTTTGCATTCCCCTTCACCGGCACATCAGCACCATGCCCGTAATGATCCGTAGATGATACACGAGTTGTTATTTTAGTTTACTGCGCAAGACGAGCCGTGCCGCTGCCGTCACACCCAACAAAACACGAGGACGCCGGTAGACAGCTCGGCAACGGCGCCCACAGACGGGACGTCACACACGATGTTACTCGTCATTAGCCCCTCGAGACAGATTTTAATATTTTGAGAGGCCAGCGCATCTCGGATTGGCTGTGGCTCAGCCCGGCAAACAGTCAGTGGAAAACCACCCGTACCGCGAGGACCCCACACCACACATCGGCTTGGCTCGGATGTGCCAGTGGAAGAGGGTTAGGACAGCCACAACAGGGTGGTGGTGGAATTCTGGGTCCGTGTGTTTATACCCGTCAGGGGTCACACGTTCCGAGAGACTTTCCCCCCCCCCCCCTCTCTCTCACCTGGCACCTTGAGGGGCACGAGGTCGGACAGCAGCCCCTGCTCCTGCGCCTGCTTGGCGTACGAGTGCGAGCGCAGAGCAAACTCGTCCTGTTCGGCACGCGACACGCCGAACGCCGCCGCCAGGCGGTCCGCCGAGTGGCCCATCGTTTCGCTCGTCGAGAACTCGGCCACGGCCGGCAGCTGCACATGCACGGAAGCACGCGCACACACACACACACACAAAGATCCCCCGTGTAGCCTTTAACCGACTGTAGGCCCAAGTGCAGTTAGCCGGGGTAGCCTGCAACACGCCCAGTTGCCACCTTTGTTTTTCCGCAGGGACGATGATTACACACCGAACCAGGTATGTATTCATTTAAAGCCGAGTCGACCTAAGAGAAGACTGGTGCAAATATTCACCGTCACTGTTATTGGTCGTGAGCGGGAAACGAACTGGGACCACCGGGTTTGTATCGCAGTGCAGTGACCACGCGCACACACGCACGTACACATGTGTGCCAAATATGCAGAGTGTACGGCATAGGTATGCATCATTCAATCACCTCAATTAGTTAACTCATTTCATCTGGGTCTGTGCCGTTGATTTATATAAATACCCACCAAGTTGCTGAGAACATCTCAATCTACAGGCGCCTCCGCATTGTGCGATGCAGCCGCTGCACAAACGACGCTGCTGCACGAACAAAAAGACTCGACTCGACAACTTGGCGATGAAAAAAAATCCAGCGATCAAAGGGGTCTTTCACCTCTGGCACGAAGTGCGCCGGGCGCAGCGAGGACGCCAGTGCCAGGCGCTGCCCCACCGTCTTGGCCTTGTTGAGAGACAGCATGGTCTTACGCATCTTGCGGCTGTGCCGGATGGGCACGTCCGACATGAACTCCACTCCCCCAGCCACCACCACGTCGCACTGGCCCGCCGCTATCAACCCAAAGCCTGCACACGCATACATCCACACACACACACACAAGACAAAGAACTCCCGTATAGTCATAACAGACTCTTGAGGCAAGTGCTGTTAGGGAGCACCTATGAAGGCCAGAACGGCACACGAGGAGGTGGGTGGCCTGCACCATGCGCGGCCGCCTTTGTCTCCCTTGTGGCGATGTTTACACATTGCACCAGGTACTCATTTCAGACTGAGTCGGCCTAGGGGAGGCCCAGGACCAGTTCAGATAATCGTCACTGGTGTTGGCCGTGAACGGGAATCGAACTTGGGTCTCCAGGTTCATAGCGTAGCGCGCTAACCGCTACACCACTGCTCCCCACACACACACACGTCTTTTTTTAAAGGGTTTTGACATATTCTTAGTTTTTTTCGGTAAAGTCACGTTGAAGAGAAACAACAAAATAACAAAATATATATAAAACAATAAAAAATTCTCACGACGTTTCGACCATAACTCAAACGGTCATCATCAGGTGTGTCGGTTTGCATAAATTTATAACGGCACATTTATTTATAAAAAACGTTGGCGTCACGCGCAGCGATTGGCAGTTTGCCCAGGACTAGTCCATCTATTTTTTTTTTTAAAACAGGAGGGGGGAGACGAAAATTTGTTATAATGTATGCTGTCTGAAAGCCACTGTAAGCGTGAACAATCAATCAAGAACTGAAATGATTTATCAAATCTTTCCAATGATTGCTAAGATAGAATCCATCTTCTCGGTTGAAATTGTCTCTGTGCTTGTATATGTGGATAGCCTCATGAACGAATCTCTCATGGAAGCCAGATGGCTTACAAAGAACCTCCGTCTTGGAAAAGTCAATGGCATGTGAGCCTACTGAATTAGAACAATGATCTGCTACGGCCGAGGTGTTGGTCCTACCGTGTTTAAGGTCTGCTTTATGTTCACGAATGCGGTCCGAGACATGGCGTTTGGTTTCTCCAATGTAACTACTACCACAGAGGCAACTTAGTTTGTAGACACCAGGGTATTGTATGTCCGGAATCACATCTTTTACAGACGGAACCAGATCACGGATTTTATGTAATGTGTTGAAACGGACCTGGTTTTGACATAGTCCAGTGGTGTTGCATTCACCGCTTGCTGACGAGGATCAAGCGGTCGCCGATTATTTTCAATTTATTATTATAATTGTATTTATTTTTATTTTATTTTCTATCTACTCGACTTTACCCAAAGAACCAAGAATATAATACTTAACAAACTACGTGCTGTTTGCTTTACGGTGGACATTAAATATCCCACAACATCATTCGCATGAGCGGGTTGGGCCATTGTACGCCGGTGTCACGGTCGGTCGAGATTTTAAAGAAGAAAAAAATCTAACGCAAATTTCACATTAAACACGGCAATCATCGGCCCCTACTGCGAAAAGTTGGCGGCACCTGCCTAAAAAAGAGTCATGAAGCTCAGTGACATTTTCCTGGGTAAATAATCATAATAATTTACGTAGTAGTAATAATAATAGGGGCATCGCAGTGGCTAGATGTTAACTCCATCGCCTGGTAAGCAGTAAGTCGTGGGTTCGATCCAGACCCCGACGCCTGTATATTTGAAGTTTGCGTGTCTCTCTCCCCGTCCATAACACAGGTTTAACATATAGGCTTTCGCAACCAATATCATCCATAGTGGTCGCGTGGATTTTTCTCCGGGACCTCCGGTTTTTTCCTCTACATTTAGAATCAACATGCGTTTCAGGGTATTTGCCTGCTATAAATTTTCCACATAAGTCACTTCGTTGAGCTTTCATTTGTGGCCAGGTCACTTCTGAAAATGAGCAATATAGCTCAGTAGGCCTTAGCTGGTAAAATAAATATACTTCAGCTTATAATAACTGTTCGTGTGTGCCCATGTATACATCCGCACAAACCCGTAGTCATTGCTTGATTTGACGAGATGCAGGCCATGGTTACTGTGTGTGCAGGGATCCTGTCAGAAAACCCAGCTCCAAGCGCAGCCTGCATGAACACAGCACATCACAAAAACAAAATGAATCACAGAACAACAACAATTTTGCGCCTACCACTCGCTGGGGACTGAAGCGGAGGCGCGGATTTGTGAATCTCGAGTATACAAAAAAAAAGATACAAATGCACGCACAAACACTGCACTAGGTGTGGGCAGATTACTGGTCAGGGCAGATAAGTGACAATCAGATATGCGACTTTGCACACAACTACCTTGGCAACTAAAGGAAGAGTAAATAGTTATTAACGCTTTACTCTTCAGTTATTAACTTCGTCTCAGTGGTGTAGGGTTACGCTCACCTCGCGAGCCACATTGCTCGTTTTCACCTCCTGTATCACGGTGCCGAGCACAATGTAGTCCACGGCATCCGTGGGCACACCGGTGCGCGAAAGTAGTCCCCTGCGCAGCGGACACATGCATGCATGCATGCATGCAGAGGTTACCATCTTTTGGACGTTGGTTGGCCTGATAACGTGCTGCACAGATATCCTTAAATTCAGAGGCATGAAAAATCACAAAGCATGCCGAATGAATAGGGCAGTGTCATCCAAGATAAATGGACACTCACTGCAAAGCTCCACGTGCCAGATCATGGGGCATCAGGTCAATGTACCTGCACAATGCACAAAGACACACACACACAGGAATTATTTTAAGAAACACCTGTTATGCACAATTCCCTTCATCTGCAAGAGACACCTATCCAGGATGATTGCTATCTGTAACCCCAACTGAGAACTAGGGATTACAGCAACATCGCCTCCTACTAGCAGATTATATGCCCACTTGCAGGGCAGGTGCCCAATCGCCTTGTGCCACACAGGGACAGCTGCCAACCAGGGGATGCCCGAGGCTAATAAAAAAAAATGCACACCGAGACGTTTCGTTATGGGCACAATATAAAAATGCAAGCAAGCATAGCTCTTTGTTTTATAGCATAGCTATTTGTTTTATTTATTTTGTATCCACTCTCCCACGGAGACATATGACAAACCAGACCACTGTGTGCTGCAATACACTGCACAACAGTACACAGAACACCACAACGCACATCAACGATTAGCACGGTTGGCTACGTACGGTGTGAAAGAAGTTCAACGTATACACACACACACGAACACCGTACAGCACCATTCCAAAGCACACCATACCTCTCCACACAGCAATCAGTGAGCACCGATCACCTCGTCATAATAGGCTCAACGCACGTCGAGGGGAAGGAGGGAGGGGGAGGCTCACGTACGAGGTGCCCGACATCAGGAATGGAGTGCGCACGCCGTCCACGAGCACCACGTTCTTGACGCCGGGACGAGCCAGGCTCTGCTTGCTCTTCGCCGGCGCGAGAACCGCGCCGGAGGAGCCCAGGGCCCGGGCACCGCCTGCAACCAAACCGCGGAGAGCGCAAACGGCGACACACCACGACGCGGCATTAATCTTACGTGTGTGTGGGTGTCTGTGAGAGAGACTTTACAGAATCCATGCAAGATTTTTTTCTTCCTCGCTCATAGTTGCAATTTCCTTTTCACGTCTAAAACCTCCTCACCGAGTCGGGAGGTGGAAGCCCAGCCCTGGGGCAGACACCGGAGTGAGGACGCCATCAGCCGAGACATCTTCTGCACAAATAGACACATACAAGACACACATACAGGACACACAGACATGTACATCCACTGACCACAGTGCAGGCAAACAGACTTCTCTTTCTGCTTTTTCCCCTCGCACGGCTCCACTTTGGAATTCCGTCCCATAGTCTCTTTTCCAAAATTATTATAACCTTGCTCAATTCAATAACAACGTTCGCTCTCGTCTATTCCAATATTGACAGTGCTGTTTGTTGCTGGCCACTCAACGTTCTGGGTCGGAGCTCGGCAACGATGTTTAAAAAAGATAGGACAAATGCTGGTGACTGCTCAAAATGAAAATGCTACTCATTTGAACGACCCCAAGAGAGGATGATGAGGAATGGATTTCAACCCATTTACACGTACAACCCTATTTGTAAATTCACTGCTGAATGAGTGCCTTTCCATGACGTGCAGTTGATGGACGTTGGTTGGCCTGATAAAGAGTCGAGTGCTTTGACCATAGTGCCACCTGGCGGTTGACAGATCGTAAATATCAATGAGCTCTCATGGCCAGTTTAGAGAGACCCAGACCTATCTGGGTTTCTCAACGTGGTCAATGAGATTTGGTGCAATGAGACTCTCACCTGGATTATAAATAGCCTTTAAAATTGTCAGTAGGCTTTCACTCAGATTAGAGACTAGATCTCAACGAAATTCTCAATGTGCTTAAATAAAAAGATTGTAATGCATTTTAGTGGGCTTTCATCTGGTTAAAAACAGAACCTAATTATAAGCTCTCAATACTCTGATAGTGCGCTGTTTTTGAGTTGTACGCCTTATGGCATCATCTGGCCAACACCAGTGGAGACTAGGCTCTAAGAAAAGCCGTCTCGGGTGTGGACCAATCAAATTCAAGGACAGTGCATATCATTATCAGAGTTGTTTCCTTTTGTTTACATTTTTGACTGCTTGTGTTGTGGTTATTGCAAACATGATCCCTTGTATAAAGGTGTCAGTTTTTGTGCCAGCTAAAAGTGTAAAAACCTATTACTATAAAGAAGGTGGTCACCGCGTTGCCCGGGGCTTTCTGATGCGCTTCTGCGGCCGTCTGTAACCTTCTTCCTTCCGATATTAGGCAGCCACTGGAGCTTCGCACTTTTAAATCACCTAGATTTAATACTCATTTCTTTAGAACTGCTTTTTTGTATCCATAATTCAGGTTTTTTGGGTTGGATCGCGTAAATATGTCGTTAAACTCACCACCGACAGCCAAATCTGGCTGTCGCCAGATGAAGCTAGTTGTAATTACTGGCGAAACGTCGTACTCAGGTTGTAAATGTTGTGGCTTGGCTCTCCAACACACCGGTTAGTGTTGTTCTAGTAACGAATTGGCATGTTCTGTTCACGTGACAAACCTTACTATAATTGGCTGTGTCGGGTGGTGGAGGGTTTAACGACGCAACAAAAAAAACCCTGTATTATGGATATTGGTCGCGAAAGCCTACGTGTTAAACTGCTTTTTTCTGTTTAGTTTGTCCTTCCCCCCCCACCTCCGATTACCACGGTTGGCTATGTACGGTGCGAAAGAAGTTCAACCTACATACAAGTACATAATCTAACTATAGGGTTACTCGGCTATCAACTGGATTAAAAATAGAGTTTTTAAAAATGCCATTGAGCGCAAGTGTGGGAGCATACAGCGCGACAGGGCGGTAGGTTCATTCATTGCCAAGTGCCTTTGGGTCCCTTCTAATAGAGCCCCCACTCATCACAATACAGACATATGCGTCCTACAGATACGCGTGTAGGAAAGAACTTGGCAACATATCGTATCTTGCCATCGTAATTATCACTATCATTTTCCATCATCACCTCCATTACCATAAGCACCACCATCACCACTTTCCTTATTACCAGCATCATCACCACTACCATCACTGCAATCACTATTTGTACCATCGCCACTATCACCATTATCGCCATCGTCACTTTCATTATTACCATCAACGTAATCCCCATCGCCATAATCATTGTGACCACCACCAACACTACCATCGTTATTACCACCATCGCCATTACAATTCGTAGCATCACAATCGCCATCATAATCCACTATCAATATTACCACCACCATTATTATCATACTTACTCCCACCACTATCACTAGAACCATCATCGCAAGGTATTACTACAATCTCCACCAATATCATTATTATAAACATGTTGTGATTTTACTAAGGAAAGGCTAAGTCTTCAGCAGCACGGGGGGGGGGGCATCATTAGCTATGAACAATCCACTGCTGGATGAAGCCCTCTCTGGGCCAGTCAAAGTGATCTGCTGCTCAAATGAGCAGCAATTGAGGCTTTGGTTAATATCTCCGGTTTAACAGCGGCGCTGCACAGCCCAGTGGTGGCAATTCCACGTTCCTATGCTGGTGGGAGAAGATCCCAGCGATCGGACAACCAGTGTTGCCTTCCCCCGGCAAAGTGGTACTTATTTTATATCGAAACCCGGAAGGATGGACGATGATTGGCTCAAGTCAACACCGCTGATCGACCGGGCCCGGTTTGATAAAAAATTCATCACTCTTCAGCAATGCACCTTCAAACTTACGTTTCAGAACATAACTGAAACGTAAATGCTTTAATGTTACTTTAAAATTAACTGCGTTACCATTATATCCGCTATTATCCCTGTTGTTGTTATTATGTCAGAAGTGGGTGAGGGGTCATTTGAGCTTCGAGGCGCAAAAAATAAAAATAAACTGGGTCAAAGTTTACCTCAAATGTTCAAGGCTCTGCGTTCCGATTTAAACCGCGCGAAGCGTCAAAAATCAACGATTGCGACGGTTAGCCGCCCCATAAACAATTCGAGTGATTTAAACAAATGTGGTGAAAGTAAACCGTAACTCACCCTGAGCGAGAACGACGACACGGGTTTGACGATCTCAAGGCGGGACTGACTGACGCGCGGAGTCGGCCGCCCTCCTCCTTATATAGGCCGACGCCGACCGACCACCTTGACCAATCGGCTGCAGGCTGAGCACGCACGTGATGCGATTCTAACCAATCGGATGGCGGCAAAAAATTTGGAGCAGGGTATTCCAAATGCTAGCTCGGATAAGCGGGGTTCGTGACGCCACCCTCGGAATAATTTCCCCGTGAATTAAAATTAACCGCATTTATTTTTTATATCGCTAATTATGTTAAGTCGTAGGCTCACTGTATCACGCAAATGAGCCGTAACTCAAATGTAATGATTCGCGTCGTTGTGAAGTATATAAAATAACGTATTATTCCGAAATTATTGTCGTCAGACCCCTCCACCACCCGACACAATCGATCGCGTTTACAAAGATAGTTTGTTACTGTTCACACGATGCCAGCGTTATTGATAAGATTGTGACCGATTAAAGTTGCTCTTTTTTATTTTCTCGCCGGTGTTGGCTCGAGACTTTTTCACGACTTAATTCGACAAACGTTCGACGTTTCGGCTCACACCCTTCATCGGGTACTGTAACGAACTATAAAATCGAGCGCAAAAGTATGAACTGTCTCGGAATCAGAAGGATATTTATTTATTCGTAATAAAGGGTTTTTTTGGGTCTCGACAGCCCGCGTGTTAATATTTATTTATACTGAGGGAATCCGAAGAGCTATAAAGCTATTTGTCACATGTCCGGTCGGGGCACGGGGTAAGAATGTTACAACAAACAATACAAACATGATAGTAGTGTGAAGTACACGAAAGGTAAACAAATCACCCAAACACATACAAATTTAACTAAACCATCTTACCAGACAAAGCCCACAGATATGTATTAACTTAATTCTCAAAAGTGACCTGGTCACAAATTATAGCTCAACAAAGTGGCCCCATCATTTGGACATTTATAGCAGAAAAATAATCTAAGCCATCGGTTAAGGAGGATTTGATCAATAGGTGTAAATTATAATCTTAATATACGATTATTATAATTTGAATAGTAATATACAAATTACAATAATCGTAATATACACATTATAATATAGTAATATATTAATTATAACTATCATAGTATGGTAATATACAAATTGTAATAATATTGTAATATACGAATGATAATATAGCAATATAGAAATTATAATCATATAGTAATATACAAAATATGATTTGGTTCTTTCGGTAAGTCACGTACAAATTATTATAATATAATAGTTTAACATCATAGTTTAACACGCAGGCTTTCGTGACCATATATTACCATATTATGCAAACCTGATTTATGAATAATATAGTAATATACACATTATACCAATCATAATAGAGTAGTTTACGCTATTTGGAGATACAGTAAATCTTGACTTAAAGGTTTCGTGACTGCAGGAATTCATATTCTTGGGTCTTTCGGTAAAGTCACGTAGACAACAGGTTCAAAGAAATTAACAAAACCAAAAAACTACGACGTTTCGATCGCAACACAAGCAATCGTCATCAGGAGAAAAACGAGCCGGAAAGATGCTGATGCAGGCTGTTTTAAAGATTTGAAATGGGTATAGCCCAAGGGAATACGGTCGTAAAAATAATACAGTAGTAGTTATGAGTTTATACTCTTTGGTTCTTTCGGTAAAGTCACGTAGGTAGGAAAATTAAACAAAATAAAAAATATTTTGATTTAAGGCTTTCGTGACTGCAGGGATTCATATTCTTGGTTCTTTCGGTAAAGTCACGTAGAAGGGAAACAATAATATTTTTTTATTGTAGAAGGGAAACAATAACATTTTTTTATTGTTTCCCTTCTACGTGACTTTACCGAAAGAACCAAGAATATAAGTATAAAAATTATCCAGCAGTTCCAGTTCCACTGCTGGATTTTTTTTTCCGCCTGAGGACGACCGCTTGTGTTGCGATCGAAACGTCGTGATATATAATTTGTATTTTGTTTTATTTTCCTACCTACGTGACTTTAGCGAAAGAACCACAGAGTATGGATTCCTGCAGTCACGAAAGCTTCAAATCAGTTATGATTTTTTGCCGAATGGTGGAGGGAATGACGACACGAATTTCGGCTTGTGACGTCATTGCAATATGCGCGCGCCGTGCATTCTGGGCGGCCATCTTATCAAGGGGTCGTTCGCCGTCTAATTCATTGAGTTGCCCTTAGTAAGATGGCCCATCCCACTCGGAAGCTTTGCTTTACTAAAAAAAAAACATTTACACAAACCCCATGCTATTTCATTATGTTTCTACTTTATTTGATTCTATTCCGTTGGTTGAGAGTCGTGAACATGTTTTGTTGTTGTGGTAAGGTTTTTGATCGCCTTCTTTTTGCAAAAGCCACGGCAATCGATTCCCTCCTGGTCTAAATAAAAACACAGATCGTTAATCGATTCTCCGTTAGCAAAGACTAGAACCCGATTGGTTTAGCGATTCTCCCACGCTTAGTTATTCTCATTCGCTCAGACTGGAAATCGATCCACGTAAGAAAAATGATGATTGGGAATCGATCTGCAGGCGTTTAAAGTCCGATCGGTGCCATCCATCGCTGGAGCGGACTAAACAAATTAAAAGTTTTTTTTATTTTAACGTAAATAAAATATATTTTTTAAAATCATAAAATGGTACGCAGTGTAACGGAGAAGAGTAAATAAACTCACGCGTGCATATATTTTTTTTAAACTTCCACTGTCATCAGCAGCAGCAGCAGCGTTAACTAGTTTGACAGCCGTACATGTATTCAACTACGAAGACGTCAACAATATTAGTTACCTCAGGAAGCAGCAGCAGCAACATCAACATCAGGAATAACAACAATATCAGCAGCAGCAGTCGTTACATCGATCATCATCATCAGCAACGACATAAATCCTGATCAGATGTAACATCAACAACAGAAGTAGTGACATCAACATCAGCCAACTTCGTTATCATCATCAGCAGCGGCAACAGCGTGAGCAGCAGTAAGTAACAACAGCAACATCGAATCATCATCACCAGCAGCAGCAGCAATAGAAACAGCAGCAACATCGGCGCTAGCAACATCAGTTTCATCAGCAGCTATATAATCGACATTAACAACATCAGCAGCTATTGCATTAGCAGCAGCAGCAATGTTATTCTCGATAGCGGCATCAACATCAGAAACAACATCATCTTCACCATTACCACCACCACCATCATCAACATGACCGGCACCATCACATCATCACCACCACCATCACACTATCTGTATAATCATCACCACCAACAACAACATCACACCACATCATCACCACCACCATCACACTATCTTTATCACCATTACCACCACCACCACATCATCACCACCACCACATCATCACCACCACCATCACACTATCTGTATAATCATCATCACCACTAACAACAACATCACACCACATCACCACCACCACCATCACACTATCTTTATCACCATTACCACCACCACATCATCACCACCACCATCACACTATCTGTATCATTATCACCACCAACAACAACATCACACCACATCACCACCACACTAACTTTATCACCATTACCACCACCACATCACCACCACCATCACACTATCTGTATCATCACCACCACCAACAACATCACACAACATCATCACCACCACCATCGCACTATCTGTATCATCACCACCGCCAAGAACATCACACGACATCATCACCACCACCACCACCATCACACTATCTGTATCATCACCGCCAACAACATCAAACAACATCATCACCACCACCATCACACTATTTGTATCATCATCACCACCGCCAACAACATCACACCACATCACCACCACCATCACACTATCTGTATCATCATCATCACCACCGCCAACAACATCACACAACATCACACCACATCCGCCGTCTCCACCATCACACGCAAGGCTGCCTCTGCCCGCCTCGCTGATTAAACAAACGCCATCAAAAGTGCAGATTTTAATGTTTTCAAAGATACACGACGTTACGGGGTAGCTACACCGAGGGATGTCATCATTCACACACCGCCGTGGATTTGCAGAGATATAGAACTGAAATCGTAATCATTATAATCGCCGCAACAATTGGTGGCTGTGACGGAGTGTACCATCACCGTGTAGACCAGAGCCTTTGGACTTTAGCAGTAAAACATTACCATTATTGCTCTTTAAGTGTTTAGGTGCAGGGCAGCATCATCATCAGCATCATCATAATCAGCAGCATCATCAGCAGCAGCAGATTCAGCAGCAGCAGATTCAGCAGCATCAGCAGCAGCATCAGCAGCAGAATCAGCAGCAGAATCAATCGCACTGTCAGCAGGAATATCAGCAGCAGCCGCCGCACAATCAGCAGTAGTCGCAAGAGCAGCAGCACGATCAGCAGCAATAGCAAGAAGAAGCATCATCAGCAGCAATAGTAGCAAGAGCAGCAGCAGTAGCAGCACTCGGCAACAATAGTAGCCAAGAGCAGCAACAGCGCCATCGGCAGCAATAGTAGCAAGAGCAGCATCAGTAGCAGCACTCAGCATCAATAGTAGCAAGGGCAGCAGCAGCACTCGGCATCAGCAGCAATAGTAGCAAGAGCAGCAGCAGTAGCAGCACTCGGCAACAATAGTAGCCAAGAGCAGCAACAGCGCCATCAGCAGCAATAGCAGCATCATCAGCAGTACTCAGCATCAGCAGCAATAGTAGCAATAGCAGCATCATCAGCAGTACTCAGCATCAGCAGCAATAGTAGCAAGAGCAGCAACAGCGCCATCAGCAGCAATAGTAGCAATAGCAGCATCATCAGCAGTACTCAGCATCAGCAGCAATAGTAGCAAGAGCAGCAACAGCGCCATCAGCAGCAATAGTAGCAATAGCAGCATCATCAGCACCATCAGCTGCAATAGCATCTGCAGCGGCAATAGCTTCAGTATCAAACTAGATTCGAAGCTTTCATGCTACTGCAGGAATTATTACTCTTTGGTTATTTCGGTAAAGTCACGTAGAAAGAAATTAAGATAAATAAGTAATGTAATACGACGTTTCGATTGCAACATAAGCAACCATCATCAGGTGCAAATGAATGAGAAAACAAGCCTAGTAAACTTTGAAATATAATGCGATACAACACAGTCGGCCAACACAACAGTCAACACCCCACCTGGTTGATTAACGTTCTTCCAAAGATTGCTAAATTTGAGAGAGAGACAAAACATAGACACAGAGAGAGACAGTTTCAATTTATTTATTTTGGTATAGCCCTGTGAGCCATTCGGCTCTTGAATCGGGTGAAACCACAACAATAAAAAAACACGAACAAGAACAACATCTTAAAGTGACTGTGTGACTGTGCAAAGAGAAAATCCATGAAAAAAACAGCAAAATATTCCTGAAAAAAGCACCGTACACCAACGCTGTGTGCAAAAAAAATCCCAGTGGGATGCAAGTCAAACAACAACCACAAGGCCCGCGTAATCGACTACAACATAGCAGTCCAGTGTTTTGTCGATTAATTAACGAATTATCCCACTCATGGGCTCCTTGCTCATCACTTGTTCTAACTTTCTGGCGTGCTTCCCCACTCACGCGAGGTGCCGCCTTCCTGGTCCGGTCTCGTGTTTTGTCATCGCCGATCATTTCCACGTCCACGGTTGTTCTTCCCATCCTGGCTCACCTCTTCAAAACCACCTCTTCACTCGGATCAGCCTCGCCGGTCTCTGTCCCGCTGGTCTCACGTCCGTCACCCTTTTCCGCTCTCGATGCGGTTTGCCCTACGGCATGTGGCGTGGCCATGCGGCGTTATGCTTCGGTCTGTTACGGCGCGCTGCTGGTGGTGCCCTCTGGTGTTGCCCTCTGGTGTTGCCCTATGTGGCGCTACGTGTTGTGAGGGACGCCACGGTGGCTGGGAGATGTTAACTCCCTCGCCCCGTATGCAGGTTGGTCGTGGGTTCGATCCCTACCCTGACGACGCCTGCTGTATGTTTGGAGGTTGCGGGTCTCTCTCCCCGTGGTCCCGTGGATTTTTTTTATCTGGGTCCTACCCGTTTTCCCCTCCACATTCAGAATCAACATTCATGCATTTCGAGTATTTGGCCGCTATACATTTCCCACGTAATGACGAGCCGCTTCGTTGAGCTATCACTTGTAGCCAGGTCGCTTCTGGGAAAAAAACAAACAAGTTAAAGATAGCTCAATGGACCTTACCAGGCAAAATAAAAAATACAGTCTGGTCTCCTAGAACGCTGCGTGTTTTTTACAACGTGAATTGGATACAACGCGATTGAGTGAACAGAACCACGTCGCGAAAATAGGAATCAATGGCTGCACGGCTGCCTCGGCGTAGCATCGCACAATGCATTGGGATGCTGCTGGATGCTTCTAGATGCTACCCACGCGCCTGAGTTCTTTGTTCAGCCTGCGTACACATCACACGTGTTATCGCGGACTGTGCTTTAACCCCCTATATTAAATGTTCTATTTATTAGAACGCGATTTCTTTTTTGTCACGTCAGTGTCCTTCAGGAACGCAACCACCGCGTCACAGGAGAACAGGCTGTAGTTTGGTTCAGTGAGATGAGCGGTGCGGTGAAGCGGCGTTGCGTTTCTGGCTGCGACTTTTGCGGTGTGGTGCTGCAGGCAGCAGCAGCAGCAGGAGGAGGAGGAGGAGGGAGGGTTGCTGGCGGCCGCGAGATGCACGTGCTGCTGGAGCTGCTGGTGGTGAGCGCGCGCGTGGCGCTGTCGTTCGCCGTCGCCGCCCTGCGCTGGCTGCGTCCGCGGGCGCCCAAGAGCGTCCTCCACGAGGTGTGCCTGGTGACGGGGGCGGCGCGCGGGCTCGGCCGCCTCTTCGCGCTGGAGCTGGCGACGCGCGGCGTCGACACGCTCGTGCTCTGGGACGTGGACGGAGAGGGCAACGAGGAGACGGCCGCCCTCGCCCGCGGGGCCGCCGCCGGTGAGCACGGGGGCAGGACCCGGGTATGGTGAGCGGGGAAGAGGGAGTGGAGGAGGGCTGGCTATGGCGAGCAGGGAAGGGTGAGCGGGGAAGGGTGAGTGGGGAAGGGTGAGTGGGGAAGGGTGAGTGGGGAAGAGTGAGTGGGGAAGGGTGAGTGGGGAAGAGTGAGTGGGGAAGGATGAGTGGGGAAGGGTGAGCGGGAAGGGTGAGTGGGGAAGGGTGAGCGAGAAGGGTGAGTGGGAAGAGTGAGTGAGCGGGAAGAGTGAGTGGGGAAGGGTGAGTGGGAAGAGTGAGTGGGAAGAGTGAGTGGGGAAGGGTGAGTGGGAAGGGTGAGTGGGGAAGGGTGAGTGGGGAAGGGTGAGTGGGAAGAGTGAGTGGGAAGAGTGAGCGGGAAGGGTGAGTGGGAAGAGTGAGTGGGGAAGGGTGAGCGGGGAAGGGTGAGCGGGAAGGGTGAGTGGGGAAGGGTGAGCGGGAAGGGTGAGTGGGAAGGGTGAGTGGGGAAGGGTGAGCGGGAAGGGTGAGTGGGGAAGGGTGAGCGGGAAGGGTGAGTGGGGAAGGGTGAGCGGGAAGGGTGAGTGGGGAAGGGTGAGCGGGAAGGGTGAGTGGGGAAGGGTGAGTGGGAAGAGTGAGTGGGGAAGGGTGAGCGAGAAGGGTGAGTGGGAAGAGTGAGTGAGCGGGAAGAGTGAGTGGGGAAGGGTGAGTGGGAAGAGTGAGTGGGAAGAGTGAGTGGGGAAGGGTGAGTGGGAAGGGTGAGTGGGGAAGGGTGAGTGGGGAAGGGTGAGTGGGAAGAGTGAGTGGGAAGAGTGAGCGGGAAGGGTGAGTGGGAAGAGTGAGTGGGGAAGGGTGAGCGGGGAAGGGTGAGCGGGAAGGGTGAGTGGGGAAGGGTGAGCGGGAAGGGTGAGTGGGAAGGGTGAGTGGGGAAGGGTGAGTGGGGAAGGGTGAGTGGGGAAGAGTGAGTGGGAAGGGTGAGTGGGGAAGGGTGAGCGGGAAGGGTGAGTGGGGAAGGGTGAGTGGGGAAGGGTGAGTGGGGAAGGGTGAGCGGGAAGAGTGAGTGGGGAAGGGTGAGCGAGAAGGGTGAGTGGGAAGAGTGAGTGAGCGGGAAGAGTGAGTGGGGAAGGGTGAGTGGGAAGGGTGAGTGGGGAAGAGTGAGTGGGGAAGGGTGAGTGGGAAGGGTGAGTGGGGAAGAGTGAGTGGGGAAGGGTGAGTGGGAAGGGTGAGTGGGGAAGAGTGAGTGGGGAAGGGTGAGTGGGGAAGGGTGAGCGGGAAGGGTGAGTGGGGAAGGGTGAGCGGAAAGGGTGAGTGGGGAAGGGTGAGTGGGGAAGGGTGAGTGGGAAGAGTGAGTGGGAAGAGTGAGCGGGAAGGGTGAGTGGGAAGGGTGAGTGGGAAGAGTGAGTGGGGAAGGGTGAGCGGGGAAGGGTGAGCGGGAAGGGTGAGTGGGGAAGGGTGAGCGGGAAGGGTGAGTGGGAAGGGTGAGTGGGGAAGGGTGAGTGGGGAAGGGTGAGTGGGGAAGAGTGAGTGGGGAAGGGTGAGTGGGGAAGGGTGAGTGGGGAAGGGTGAGTGGGGAAGGGTGAGTGGGGAAGAGTGAGTGGGGAAGGGTGAGTGGGGAAGAGTGAGTGGGGAAGGGTGAGTGGGGAAGGGTGAGTGGGGAAGAGTGAGTGGGGAAGAGTGAGTGGGGAAGGGTGAGTGGGGAAGAGTGAGTGGGAAGGGTGAGTGGGGAAGGGTGAGTGGGGAAGGGTGAGTGGGGAAGGGTGAGTGGGAAGAGTGAGTGGGAAGAGTGAGCGGGAAGGGTGAGTGGGAAGAGTGAGTGGGGAAGGGTGAGCGGGGAAGGGTGAGCGGGAAGGGTGAGTGGGGAAGGGTGAGCGGGAAGGGTGAGTGGGGAAGGGTGAGTGGGGAAGGGTGAGTGGGGAAGAGTGAGTGGGGAAGGGTGAGTGGGGAAGGGTGAGTGGGGAAGAGTGAGTGGGGAAGAGTGAGTGGGGAAGGGTGAGTGGGGAAGAGTGAGTGGGGAAGGGTGAGTGGGGAAGAGTGAGTGGGAAGGGTGAGTGGGGAAGGGTGAGTGGGGAAGAGTGAGTGGGAAGGGTGAGTGGGAAGGGTGAGTGGGGAAGAGTGAGTGGGGAAGGGTGAGTGGGAAGGGTGAGTGGGAAGGGTGAGTGGGGAAGGGTGAGTGGGGAAGGGTGAGACAAGAGTGGTGGTGTCCGCACCACCGCCACGTGTCGCCGTACCGGCCTTCATAGGTGCTCGCTGACAGCACTTGCCCCAACAGGGGATCTTTGTCTTTGTTGTATCACTGTGACTGTGTTTGTGGGTTATCTGGCTGTTAGCGTATCACTATGTGGGTGAGTATCAGTCCTGAGCCTCCCCAAGGTCGACTCAACCTCAATTGAGTACCCGGTGCAGTGTGTGCGTAAACATCGCCACTCTGGCATGGTACCGTCCCGGCTCTTCAGTTGAGTTATTTCACTGGTTTCGTACACACAACACGGAAACAAATATACAACACAACAGTCCGTAAGGCTTACCCGGTGGTGGGGGGGGGGCGGTGATGTGATGTTCGTGTTTGCGAGCAGACGCCGGTGTGGCATGCCCGCGCGTGCTGGCGTACACGTGCGACGTGTCGAAGCGCGTCGACGTGTACCGCGTGGCGGGCCTGGTGCGGCGCGACGCGGGCGACGTCACGCTGCTCGTGAACAACGCGGGCGTCGTGTCGGGGCGCCCGCTCCTCGACTGTCCCGACGAGCTGCTCGAGAGGACCATGGCCGTCAACCTGCACGCCCTCTTCTGGGTCAGCGGTGGCGGTGGACGTGGCGGTGGAGGTTGCAGTGGCAGAGAGGAGGGTACTCTTTGGTTCTATTGGGTAAAGTCACGTAGGTGAAAATAAAATAACAAAAAATCACGACGTTTCGGCCACAACACAAGCGGCCTTCATCAGGTGAAGGGACGAGCCTGTCTGGAGGACAGCGCTGGAGTGTTGAGACAGTCTCGTCCCTTCACCTGATGAAGGCCGCTTGTGTTGTGGCCGAAACGTCGTGATTTTTTGTTATTTTATTTTCACCTACGTGACTTTACCCAATAGAACCAAAGAGTATGGATCCTAGCAGTCACGAAAGCTTTAAATCTAGAAGAGAGGAGGGTGTTGGTGGAGGTGGCAGTGGTGGTGGCGGCGAAGGTGGTGATGGTGACGGTGGTGATGATGGGGGTGGTAGTGGTGAACTTGTGGTCATTTTGGTGGGGGTTGAAAGTGTCGGTGTCAGTGGTGGTAATGATGGGGATGTTGTTGGTGATGGTCATGAAAGTGATGCTGCTGCTGCTGCTGCTGTTGGAGGTGGTAATGAAGGTGATGATGCTCTTGGTGATGGTGATCATGCTGTTAAAAGTGATGATGCTCTTGGTGATGGTGGTGGTGATGGTGATGATGCCGTCGAAATGATCACACTCCAACCCTAGCAGGTGCATTTTATCCGGGCTGAAATACTTGCCCACGACAAAACGGTGCGGCAACTGTTGCTGGTAACTATCCCCCTTAAAATCGCTCGAAAATGTCCCCAAACGTTCACCGTGGCCGTCAGATTAACTACAAGGGAGATCCACGCCTTCCATCCGTGTCTCCGCGTTGAAACGCGCTCAGGTCACCAAGGCGTTCCTGCCGGCGATGTTGGAGAAAAATCACGGCCATATGGTGACCATCGCCAGCTCCCTGGGCCTCTTCAGCACGGCCGGCATTGAGGTGCCACCTCCTTACACCACAGCCAGCTGACCTCTTGACCTCGGTCCCCCCCATTGTGACCCCAACCCTAGCCTTTGACCTCATGGACACACTAACCGACACTGGTGCTGGTGTCACGTGATGCAATTGTCCGGATGGATGTGTTGTGTGCGGGCTGTGCACACCTAATACTCTACAAACAACTTTGTAGTAACATTGCGTGGCCTCAGAAGAATAAATATATTAAAGTCAACGGTTTGGGCAATGACCCTCCTTCATAGCACAATAAGAAGGGCCATTGCCCTTCTTTTTACAGGCCACGCAAGGTTGCTATTGACGAACGTGTTGAGTTTTGTTGCTTATGCCTGTGCACCCACTGCCAACGCAGCATCACCATATAATTTGTTACAGCAATAGGCTGCATGGAGGAGAGTTGAGTGAGATGAGAGAGGTAGGAAAGTTGAGAAGTGGAGTAGAGTGAGATGAGACGGGAGAGGTAGGAGGGTGTGTGAAAAAGAGTAAAGTGAGATGAGAAGGGAGAGGCAAGAGAGTACGTGGAGGGGAGTAGAGTGAGATGAGAGGGGAGAGGTAGGAGAGTGCGTGGAGGGGAGTGGAGCGAGATGAGAGGGGAGAGGTAGGAGAGTGTGTGGAGGGGAGTAGAGTGAGATGAGAGGGGAGAGGTAGGGGAGTGTGTGGAGGGGAGTAGAGTGAGATGGGAGGGGAGAGGTTGGAGAGTGCGTGGAGGGGAGTGGAGTGAGATGAGAATGGAGAGGTAGGAGAGTGCGTGGAGGGGAGTAGAGTGAGATGAGAGGGGAGAGGTAGGAGAGTGCGTGGAGGGGAGTGGAGTGAGATGAGAAGGGAGAGGCAGGAGAGTGCGTGGAGGGAAGTGGAGTGAGATGAGAGGGGAGAGGTAGGGGAGTGTGTGGAGGGGAGTAGAGTCAGATGAGAGGGGAGAGGTAGGGGAGTGTGTGGAGGGGAGTGGAGTGAGATGAGAGGGGAGAGGTAGGAGAGTACGTGGAGGGGAGTGCAGCGAGATGAGAGAGGAGAGTTAAGCAGCAGCGAGTCCACAGAGAATCTTGGAAGACGTTGCGTGTGATCTTGACATTAAACGATTGGGTTTGGTGCCACTATAGGCATAAAAGTAGAGGGGCTACGTGGCCTCGTTTATCGGCGCTGGTGAGAAGTCTGCCTGCGGAATTTCGGGTCATCTGGAGCGTGGAGGCGAGGTGTTTGGGGAGAGGCCGTGAACGAGCGGGAGCATCGCCGTAGCGGAGGGGGAGGTATCATCGCGAGCAGGGATAGACGTCGACGTCTCTCTGCTGGGGCGCTAACACAAATCGCCGCCCTCCATGCTAGGATTACTGCGCCAGTAAATTTGGCGCCGTGGGATTCCACGAGTCTCTGAGCCACGAGATCAAGGCGATGGAGCGCGACGGCGTGAAGACCACACTCGTGTGCCCCTACCTCGTCCAGACCGGCATGTTCCATGGGTGCCGGATGCGGTGAGTGTCAGCAGGATCCGCAACCTTGCATCCAAAACCGCTCCTCGACAAACTCACCGCCTCATCGCCAACGATGTTTGAAAATATGTTTTCATATCGGCTGGATAATCCCTTCAGACGGAGCATCTCGGTATAATGGTGTGCAGGGTACCAACTCGGCACACTGCAGACACAGCTCGCCAACACGAACTCAGCTCCTCACCGCACCTCACCTCACCAAGCCAGTGTAGTTTCAGACTGGGGCGGTCCTGCACGTACACCATATTCTATGTTGGTCTGCTACCCACACCTATGTATGATTAGCACGATTGGTTACGTACGGTGCGAAAGAAGTTCAACATACATACAGTCGAGGTGTAGAGAATTTTAACAGGACTTACATCTCTGCTTTTTTGACCTGGTCAAGGCCTATGATACCATGAATAGGCCAGGGCTCTGGGTTATTCTTTGTGCTTTCAGGGTCCCTGACCAGACTGGATTGTTTAAGAGGCTCAAATATCCTTAAAATATATAAAATGCACTAAGCTGGCACAGTGGGTCGCCTGGTTCATATCGCAGTGTGCTAGCCACTGCACTACAAATTAAAAGGAACAGGTCCTGGGCCTCCCCTCGGTCGACTCAGCCTGCAAATGAGTGCCTGATGCGGTTAGTAAATATCAGCACTTGGTGGTGTTGGGCCACCCACCCCCCTCGTGTGCCGTACCGGCCTTCATAGGTTCTCGCGAACAGCACTTTCCCTAACAATCTCTTGAGGCTATACGGGGGATCTTTGTCTTTGGGTGTGTGTGTGTGTGCAGTAAGGAGGTGGAGACGTACGTGCTGCCCCCGCTGCAGCCGGAGAAGTGCGTGCAGCAGGCGATGAGAGCCATCCTCACCGACCAGCCCGTGCTGTGTATGCCGCGCCTCATCTACCTCGTCGTCTTCATCAAGAGGTGCGTCGTTCACGTCTGTGCTGTCTTTGTGAGACTTTGCAAGTGCGTGTGGTGTTGTAGCAGTTAGCACGCTGCACCGCGAACCCGGCCACCTCAGTTCGATTTCTGCCCACGGCCAACACTGGTGACAATTATCTGAACTGGTCATGCCCGCCCCCCCCCCCCCTACTCGGCTTTAAATGAGCACCTGGTGCAGTGTGTGAAACATCAGCGCTGGGGATACAGATGTTTAGTGACTGTGTACATATCTGCGTGTCTCGTTTTGCATGAGCTTCTCAGTGGTGAGGTGTTAATTACCTCCCCCTGGTGTATAGGAGGTCGTGGGTTCGATCCCGACCCTGACGCCTGCACATTTGAGGCGTGCATGTCTCTCTCCCCGTTGCCGACTGTATTTTTCCTCCACATTTAGAATGAACATCACGCGTTTAGAGTGTTTGTTCTCCTGGTATACATTTCCACATGATGATAATCCAACTCCGTCGAGCTATCATTTGTGATAGCCAGGTCGCTTCTGAAAAACTACTGAGCTATATAGCTCAGTGGGGCTTTACCTGGTAAAATACAGGTTTTTTTTCATCATCAAAGACCAAAGATTCCCCGTATAGCCTAAACAGACTGTTGGGGCAAGTGCCGTTAGCGAGCACCTACGAAGGCTGGCACGGTACACGAGGGGGGTGGGTGGCCAGCACTGCACCCGGCCGCCTTTGTCTCTCCCGCACCAGGTACTCATTTGAGTATTCGGCTGCGATAAATTTCCATATTACAAGCAAATTCATTGGCCTATCATTTGTGGCCAGGTCGCTTTCTGAAAACAAGCTACATACCTCAGTGGGCCTTACCTGGTAAAATAAGAGATGGTTGAGTTTGTGTGTGTCTCTGTGTGTCTCCGTGTTTCCGTGTCCCCCGCGTTCAGTATCCTCCCCTGGGAGGCTGTCGTGGCCATGTACCGCTTCCTGGGAGCGGACAAGTGTATGTACCCGTTCTTCGAGGAGTGCAAGCGGCGGACCAACAACAACCAGGAGCTGTGACCAGCCCAGCCGCCACCCACCGGGCCCCCCGCCACCTAGGAATGGGGCCCTCCAAACCTCCTGCTAGGGCTCTCCGATGCCTAATCATAGGACCCACCCACTACCTATGGATGAGTCCTGCCAATACCCAAAGATGGGGCTCCTCTAAGCGTACCGTTGCGCTCCCCGCAACCTGTAGATGGACTGCACGATACCTAATAGTGCGTGCACTAAGACCTACAGATATGGGCCCCTGGAAATTACTGATGAATGGGCCCCACAATACCTCGGGGGCGCCACAGTCGCCTGGTATCCTGGAGTTCGTGGGTTCGATCCCTACCCTGACTCCTGCATATCTGGAGTTTGCACGTCTCTCTCCATGTGGTCACGTAGATTTTTTTTCTCGGGGCCCTCCGGTTTTTCTCTCCACATTTAGAATCAACATGCATTTCGAGTATTTGCCTGCTATAAATGTCCACGTGGTAAGCCACCTCGTTGAGATATCATTTGTGATAGCCAGGTCGTGTCTGAAAAATACATTTCTAGTTTTAATCATGGGACGCCCCCCCCCCCCCCCCCCCCCCCACTTAAATGTGTGCATCATTACCTCCAGATGCCCCCCTTGATTCTACTGATGAGGACCCCCCCACTCTGTACCTACACATGGGCCCCCTAGTGTCATTAATGCCCCCCCCATATTTCCCAGGGTGGGTTCTTGGATCGACTGGGTGAATCACTGCGCAGGGCCGCAGAGGGCTCGTGACGCCTTGAGAGATGGGCAGTGTGTGGTTAGCGCCTCCTTCTGTGGCAGAAAACGGGAGAACTGAACCATGACAAACTAATGGTGCTGGACACAAAGACAAAGATCCCCCAGTATAGCCTTAACAGACTGCTGGGGCAAGTGCTCTTAGCGAGCACCTATGAAGGTCGGCACGGCACACGAAGAGGTGGGTGGCCAGCGCCGCGCCCGGCCGCCTTTGTCTCCCCAGTGGCGATGTTTACACATCGCACCGGGTATTCGTTTGAGGCTGAGTCGACCTCAGGGAGGCCCAGGAACGGTTCAGATAATCGTCACTGGCCTTGGCGGTTAGTGGGTTTGTAGCGCACCACCACCGCCTCGTGCACCCTTAATAGGTGCTCGCTAACAGCATGAAAATCCCTTGTTTGTCAACCCACTGCCGGATGAGGGACTCCCCATGCGCCGTGTGGAGCCGTTTAACCGTACTTCACCGTGCTGGTCAGTGCGGGTTGGTGAAGGTAACGGAGCATAGATGAGGGGCAGCGTAGTACGGTACAACAATGGATTCTGGTATTGCACTTCCCCCTGCTGCTGCCCCTGATGTAGCCCCACGACATCGATGAGTGGTATTGATACTCAGGGCGCCTTTGTTTTAAAGACACATGACCTTGCAAATAATTGTGCGTGTTTATGTGTACTTGAGGCTCTTGAAGGACGCTCCTGGGCAGTTGGAGGCAGTGACCCTCCAACAAAAACGGAGGGCAGAGGAGCGATGCTCGTAACAATGAGCGGAACGCCGGGCGGCTAAAACACAGCAACGTGGCACTGTAAGGGCCACAGCTGGTGCATCTGCCAGTCATCTCTGTCAAGCCATGGCACCTGCAGGGTCTGCCCCGTGACCTCCTGTCGGTGAGCCTTTGACACTTGACGTGACCTCAAAGTGCACCTGGCCTGGCACAGGCGCCGTGGTGATGTCACCACCACTTAGTGGCGAATCAGCAGTTGTGTGCAAGCGTGTGCGTAGTGCGGAGTGGCGGTGCAGTGGTTAGCACACTGCGCTACAAACCCAGCAACCTGAGTTCGATTCCCGGCCATGCCCGACATCCTTTGCTATATCTGAGCTGGCCCTGGGCATTCTCTAGGTCGACTTGGCCTTAAATGAGTGCCCGGCGGGGTGTGTAAACATCCGCACTGGGGAGACAAAGGTGGCCCGAGCGTAGTCCTGGCCCCACCACTATCCCCCTGTGTGCCGCGCCAGCCTCAATAGGTGCTCGCTAACCGCATGAAAAGTCCCAACATTCTGCTAAGGCTATATGGCATAATCTTTGTCTTTTTATGCACTGTATAACTGTTGGAACAAGCGCCATGCAATAGCATATATTGCCCCGACAGTCTAAAAGGATATTTGTGGGTCTTTGCATTATTTTTGTGTGTCTGAACATTTGTGTCCGAGTGTGAGTGACTGTTGTGGGGAGCGGTGGTGCAGCGGTTAGCGCGCTGTTCTATGAACCCGGCGACCCGGGTTCGATTCCCGCTCATGGCCAACACCAATGACGATTATTTAAACCGGTGCTGGGCCTCCCCCAGGTCGAGTCAGCCTCAAATGAGTACCTGGTGCGATGTGTAAACATTGCCACACAGGAGACAAAGGCGGTCGGGCGTGGTGCAGACCACCCACCCCCTCGTCTGCCGTTCCGGCCTTCATAGGTGCTCGCGAACAGCACTTGCCCCAACAGTCTCTTGAAGGCTATACGAGAGGGAATCTTTGTATTCCTGTGCGAGTACAGTAGATCACACGTATTACCGTTGTGTGTATGCGTCAGTGCACGCTATGTATGTACTGTAACGAACCTCGAGCGGGTAGCTGTAATCATTAACCGCTCAACATGCAAGACGACAAAGATGATGAAATAAATGTGTTTCTCAATCGACCTGGAGACTACTCGAAAGTTAAATACAGCTCACCTAGGCACGGGACCCACTGATGTGCAATCATAACCACGCGTATGTTCATAGGGACCGTCCATAAATGACGTCACGTAATTTTGGTCACACGGCGTCATTAAAAGTCAGACCCCCCCCCTCAAATATGACGTCACAAAGCTCTGCCCTCCCCCCCCCAAAAAAATTCCATTTTTGAAAATAAAAACATGCTTCAAATCGCTTTAAACTATTGTCATTGTAGTGCGTATTTAATGTTTTAATGTGGCGCTGCACTTTGATGTTGTAGGAGTGTTATAACAATTAGTGTTATAACAATTCTATATTTAATGTTGTGGCGTCACATCCCCCCCCCCCCCCCCCCCCCCAGGTGCGTGACGTCATTTATGGACGGCCCCATACTGACGCACTGCATAACGAATCAAGGCTTGGTTAATAAATTCCAAGTCTTGTTAAGAGTCATTGCATTCTGGATCGAGTTATTGTCTTTTCTGTCGCCGTTTAGAAGGTCCACTTTGGTGTCCTATGAAACATATTAAGGGAATTGCATGGGCGAGAAAATGGATCCGAACTCCTCACTCTCCCATATTAAAAATGAACAAACTTCACACATGTTCGGTGCAGTGCAACGTCGTTTATCCGCACTGACCGGATATCTGGCTGCTGCAAAATGCTGCAGGCTGCCACCTTGTGCTGCCCTGCAGGCTGCCACCTCGTACTGCCCTGCGGGCTGCCACCTTGTGTGCTGCTCTGCAGGCTGCCACCTTGTGTGCTGCCCTGCAGGCTGCCACCTCGTGCTGCCCTGCAGGCTGCCACCTTGTGCTGCCCTGCAGGCTGCCACCTCGTGCTGCCCTGCAGGCTGCATCCTTGTGCTGCCCTGCAGGCTGCCACCTTGTGCTGCCCTGCAGGCTGCCACCTTGTGTGCTGCCCTGCAGGCTGCCACCTTGTGCTGCCCTGCAGGCTGCCACCTTGTGCTGCCACCTTGTGCTACCCTGCAGGCTGCCACCTCGTGCTGCCCTGCAGGCTGCCACCTTGTGCTGCCCTGCAGGCTGCCACCTTGTGTGCTGCCCTGCAGGCTGCCACCTTGTGCTGCCCTGCAGGCTGCCACCTTGTGCTGCCACCTTGTGCTACCCTGCAGGCTGCCACCTCGTGCTGCCCTGCAGGCTGCCACCTTGTGTGCTGCTCTGCAGGATGCCACCTTGTGTGCTGCCCTGCAGGCTGCTTGAGCGGCAGCCTTTCGAACTTATCGAACTTATTAGCCACATCAGCGGCTCCGACCTAATTAATTAACTCCGCGTTCAAATCCAATAATTTTTGTTTCATACATTTGTGGCGCCCATTGGAAAATATTACACTGGATATCTCAGAATATTGAAGTCAGCCCCCCCCCCCCCCCAAGTCAAAATCCTGGCTCCGCCCCTGCCCCCCTTCCCTTGCCCGACCAAGTTGCATGTGCCACGTTAGCCGTGTGTGGCAACGACGGTTGCTGCAGGCTACGACATGGATACCGTGCAGGATATTTTGTTATTGTTGTTGCTGGTAATGTTGGCTTCACGTTGCGGCGACAAGACACGAATACTCAACATGAAACATGCCTTACTGATGTAAAACACAGCGTGAAACACGTGGCATACATAATACACAACGTGAAACAGCGTGAAACACGTGACATACATAATACACAACGTGAAACAGCGTGAAACACGTGGCATACATAATACACAGCGTGAAACACGTGACATACATAATACACAACGTGAAACACAACGTGAAACACAACGTGAAACACGTGACATACATAATACACAACGTGAAACAGCGTGAAACACGTGACATAATACGCAACGTGAAACAGCGTGAAACACGTGACATACAACGTGAAACATGCCTTACTTACACAAAACACGAAAAACATGAAAAATACCTTAATAACACAAAGCGCATTTATACACAACATGGAAAGAATACTTTGCTAATAAAAAAAAACACTCATAAATATGGAACGCATGCCTTACTAAGGCAAAAGCACACTCGTACAAGAGTGTGACGCCAAAGCCGATAAAAAGCCAATTACCAGCGAGCCTGGAAAACCAGAATTGTAACGGTTTGTTACATTGTTGGCGTTGTGTTTAAAGAGGAACAACAACAGCAATAATAATAATAATACTGTGCTGTGACAGTGTGTAGTGACGACTCAGTTGGACTCACGACAAATGTGAGAAAATTTTATTTTGGAACGAAAGGAAACAAAAAGTCAACAGCGGGAGGAGACGCAGGGGATCAGCCGGTTGGCTCCTCGCCGAGCGCGCCGCGTGCGTTTGGACACAGGGCACGCGTCAAGTGGGACAGCGACAGCCAGCAACAAACAGCACCGTTGTCAGAGTATTGTTCTAGAGAGGCGTGCGTGATGATGGCACGTGTCCTGGCAAGTTTTCGCAGGAAGGGGGCGACGTTTTTCTGTGTTTCCCGATGAGTCAATTTGCAAGCAAATGAAATTTTGACGGAACTTGGACCCTGAGTCGACCACTATGTGTGATGTGAGCCGTAGTGGAGCGGTTACAAACCTGGCAGACCGAGTTCCATTCCTGGTCACGGCCAATACCGGTGACGATGATCTATGTCAGTCCTGCGCATCCTGGTGCGGTGTGTAAACATCACAACTGGAGAGACAAAGGCGGCCGGGCGTGGTGCTGACCACCCACCGCCCTCGTGTGCTGTGTTGACCTTCATAGATGCTCGCTAACAGCGCTTGCCCCAAAAGTCTGTTCAGGCTATACGGGGGATCTTTGTCTTCGTATCACCTGTGCGAGTGTGCGCACAATGGTCTACCTACGCTTCTTCAAGGAATGGCGACGTCCGCTGTTGAGCAGAAGGCGCGGATTGTACCGCTAATGCGCAA